ATCTCATCATCTTCGTCTTCTTCTTCGTCTTCTGAGAAGAGGTGGTTGAGCTTGCTTCCAGTCAGTTACCAGGAGCACATTATGTATGGTAACTTTGTACCCTATACCACTTTAAGAAAGTGTGGGCAAATGAGAGATGAAGCGTCTTTACGTCTAAAAATAGGGGGCAACAGTACGTATCCATGTATCACTAATATTGTGTGTGTGTAGTAACAGCGACATAGTATTATGCTGAATACTTACTATGCTGCTACTGATTAGTGTGCACTGCTGTGTAGCGTAGTTTTTTTTTGCATGGGTAATTTTTTCTTGATGTGTAGCACATAGATCATTTGCATGCATAATTGGATTCTTTTCATCATCTCATCGGTACGTTTAGTATTTTGCCATTATCGGCAAATGTTTTAAACACCCTGATCTAAAAAATGTTTGTGGAAAATTACCGCAGATTTGCAAGTCTATTTCGGACGATGATTTGTTACACTGCTCTGCATACGATGCATGCATGTATGCATGCATATTTAGGATGTTTGGGATATGTAGCGTTTTATTGGCAAAGTGAGGCATGACGTTAAACAGGCAATCCGCAGAGTCAAGTGGATCTGTATATATTGCACAATAGCTGTCGAGAACCGAGGGTGGTCTCCGAAACAAAGATACTGTCCAAACTGTCCTCCATTTGATGCAATCTTGAATTGAATTCAAGTCCACTTTTTGAACAATGGTTCTTTTAACAGGGTCCAGATTTGTGAATTTCATAACCTTTTGATATCAGATTTCAATTTGTATCGCTCATTATTACGTATTTTCGGGGTACAAGTTACATACAATGCGGGCTAATTTAGATGTCCTTTTGGTCCATGGGTAAATTTTAGGCCAGGAGGCAACAAATTCGCCACTATTTTGGTCAGAATTCTGAGAATTTCTTGTCCAACAGGCTGGAGAAGAAGAATTAAAAGGTGGCAAAAAATCGTATAATTGATCATTTCACCACTATTGCGCAGTTTCTTAGAATTACAATGGTACCAACAATGGAATAATTATCCCCACTTTTTACACGTTTTATTATACGAGCCCAGTTGTTGGTCTTGTTACGTAAGTGCGAAATATGGTCGGTCGGAATATTATACAAAGCATGTCAGGTTCGGCATTCACTAAGTTTGCAGAATTTGACCATACCCTTTCGCAATACGTTTTACTGTGACCTATGTACGTGCTGGGTACCTTACCTTGGCATTACGTGGTCGATAATAATGGCAGCATTTATGTCGTACCATTTTTTCCAAAGTAATATTGAACATGATTTCGTGAGGAGAATTCGTATGTATGTAAGTCCTTGGAATATTCGGTACTAATTAAAATTTAGTGGTGGATTGGATGGGTAGGTATAGCACCTCAATTAACCGGGTGGCATGCTGTTGTACTTCAAATGTTGATGACATGCCATGACCCGGGGCGGGCATGCTGCTGCATATGTAAATCCATCACCCTTTCATTTATCCCATCAATACAAAGATGGATTTTCCTAAAAGGAAACTTCCTCCTCAACTCTTCTCGTGGCATGAAAATTGCCGAAATGACTGCAATTCTGATCTTGATGGATTTGATTTGTACATATGTCGCTCATAAAAATGTAGTGTTGCACTGCACTGCACTCACTCACCAGTGACCCTTTAACCTTTAGCAGTGTTCCCTATGTGTATACGTACGTTGTTATATGGCTCATTAATTCATGGCATGTTCACTTTTGTGATATGTTGTTACTTACAAATGCACTTGGTACAAATGGTGCAATACTATATTCGTGCAAGCTAGATATTTCTGCCTCGTAGCATAATATCCATCAATCCGAAAGGAATGCAGATATCCTCCGAAAAGGCACGTACAATTATTCCTTAATCGAATAAACTGGTCGAGATTTATGTGATTTCAACCCAATATCGAGGAGAGACCATTGATTTGAATAAAGTATTATGCATAACTCGCAACCTCCCACTTCAACGAGCATATGGTTTGGCTAGGCTATTATTTTATTGTATTTTTTAATCTCCTCCATCCGGATGGAAGGAAGTAGAAAGAAGTCGTCGTTGTATTGTAGGTAACCTTTCCAGGCAAACTTTGCGACGAACGACGAGTGGCTGGCAGCATATACTTTTATCCATATTATTATCGTGGAGAGAAAGAGAGAGAAAATCGTCGTCTGGCCAGTGCGGGGAGGCGGCGGATGATTACACTGCATACATAGTTTCACGCTGGAGAGAAAGTCTGGAGAAAGTCCTACGGCGCAATAAACATGTTTTCCTCTACTTGAAGCAGGAAATAGATTAAATTTTAAGTTTCAACTCCTCTCCTACTCCACTCACTCCCGGTTTTGAGAGAGACGTTATTCAGGAAATACAACGGGTAGGATTTGGCTGGTGGTGCATACGCTTTATCTTTGGAACAAACTTCCGAATGCTTTCTTCCTTTGTGTTGGTTGGTGTCTTGTTGAATGGTGGATTGGACTGGACAGATTCAATCTTTACCCTGGAACGGAGGTCGTCTAGCCGCTAGACTTGATTGCGTGCTGCATTATTATCGTTTGTTGGGGTCGATTTCAGCATATGCACCTCGTTAGGATAATAGAAAGCAGGTACATGTCGGATTAATTTCACGATTCGTGGGAATTATTTCGCCACTTTACATCCCAAACTTTACTGCACTGGGTACCTAGCTCTCTCGGTCTCAAGGTCTCCCAATGATTTTAATCCCTCGCCTCACATCTTCTTGTCCGACAAAGTGGGGATGATGAAACTAATTAAAGCGTTGATTGAGGTTTGAATCGGAACGCCTATTTCATGTAATGAGCACTACTGTCGAGCATTTCTTCACCGCAGGGCAACCTCGGCTAGTATGTAGGTGCATGGATAGATTGATCTCTCAGGCATGCCTGCTTCCCACGATTCCCATTAATGCAACCTGCTGCATTGCATCAGAATTGGAGCAACAATACAATACACACAGCCTGAGAAAGGAAATCAAGACGGAGAAAATAAATATGTGGCAACTTTCCCAGGTGATTTGTGCTTGACAATAATGGTCCAGCCAGAGTTGATTCAATCCTGCTGTTGGTACCTTTACTTATTTTTTAACTCGCTTTTTTGAATGGGAAAAATGTTGTGTTGTGTTTGTCGACTCTTTTGCTTTTGAATTTTGAAATAGGTTTTGACTGACGTTTTGACGGATAATTCAGCTCCCCCCATTCATTTCACAAAATGTCATGAAATAAGGGAATTATTATGTAAAAAATGTCATATAACGAGATCACCAAACTTGCAAGGATGAAAGGAGACAGATATCATCATACGTAACATGAAACAGACTGATATGTACAATACAATATTCTGTGTCGAGGCATTCAGCAAATTCAGTCAGTCACTTTAGCAATGTCGACTGTGTACAAGGATGAGTAATTGTAGCAGCAGGAGGAGTGAGTTCAAATAGTGGAGAAAGCGAGGAGAAAGCAAGCGGTGGTGGTGGTGGTCGTCGTCGTCGTCATCGTGGTGGAGGTGGGTTTAGTTTTAACACGCTGGAACTCTGCCTTCCTTTTCCCTGACTTGAATCCAGTTTCAACTGGATGGAAATAAATCCAGGTAAACTCGTGGAGGAGTCGGATCAAATAAACGGGTTTTAGGGATGTGAGTGCTCATCCACTTACTAATTAAGAAGGCCAGGTAAATACGTACGTGGGAAAAGATAAAAATAATTGAGTGTAATGCGTATTATTATTTGGTGGGTAAATACTTACTATGCACGGATTCACGCGGAAGCTGCGTTTTTCGAAATTTAGATGAACATTTGCAATGTGTTTAGCGTGGTTAAATATACGCTTTTGCAGTTTTGGACATGTGGCATCATCACAATTCCACAGAATTAATCGAAATTATTCGTACTCGTACCAAGATTCGGACATCCTGATTCATCATCATATTTTCTATTTTAGTAAACTAGCTAAATTTTACTTGCAAATTATTTCGTACATGATCATCTTGTTGTTAGTATGCGTGCACACATGTTACAATTTATACCTGCACTATCAATTCGTTCTATATATACATACATACACGTAGAGTGACAGATGAGATTCCTTGTTGTTGGGTTGGTCAATGAATGGTGATTCATTCAACAGGAAATTAGCATATCCAATTCGATTCGACACACATAACGATTCATGTAAAAATGATTTGTTTTCCGACAACAAATAAATATTACGTGAATAATGCCTCGACAAATATTTGCGCATCCATTGACAGACACGCAGTATATACGGACACAAGTATCAAACAGTGTCGATAAGTAAATAAAAGAATACTTCCCGAAATAGAACACAATCAATTTTTTTGTCCTGTATTTACCTACACAAATTTGCATTCATACAAACATTAAGAACACTATGAATTGTTGATTTTAGCACAAAATAAATAAAACCGCGACGCATACTGAAAGTACATGGCATTTTTACGCATAAAATTAGTAAGGATTATTTTTACTTGGTTTAAATTGGTTTTCCTTGTACCTGTCAAACATTTTAAATCATATTGGATTTTAACTTGGAACAATTAGATTACCAACTCTTCCGAGAAATTGTTAATGCAAACATAAATAAAAACTCATTTCATGATTAGTATGATAAAAGTTGTCAACTCAGCCGAGATTAATGAATCATAATAATGTGGAAACTTTTTAGGAAGGCGGTATACATATATGTCAATCAAGGCTAAATTATTTACCTACCGTGTAACACACGTGGAAATAAATGCAGGCATTCGTCACGTCGCCACTTTTTTATCATTTGTACATTAGGAAAATCACCCCATAAATAAAATGCATGTAACAACAATTGGTGACATAAAGGTTCATTTTGCTTACGTATGAAAAAACCGCAGCATATTCATGTACAAAGGAGAGGCACCATTTATTCATTTCCACTTTAATATTGTACTTACTAAACTGTACATAAATTCATTTTTCATTATTGATTGACAAACTTTATAACTTACATAACGCATCGAATTCTTGGCTTGACTAGTTTAAAATTTGGTTAGTTTTGTAAAAAGTAGTCAAATTGAATGCATTGCATGTCGTGACTTTAAAGAACAAAGCAGGGAAGCGGTGACGTGTGGGACAAAACGCATTGAATTTAGGTTTATTCATTGTACATGTAACTAATTAAATTTCATATTGTGTCGTCACTTAACTTCTTTTACGAGTCTCCAGCAGATTCCATACAATCCTATGGAAGTAGAAGAAATACATAATTGCATGCATAAGAATAAGTATGTAAAATCGGTGTATGTATTCATCCCCGGTTTGATTAATAAATATGTTTTCTGGGACGACGTTTCGTAATGGAGGCGGATTTGATTAAATCTTCTACTAGAATTCAGATCCTAATAACTTTGACAGGTTTCACAGGAAAGAAGAAAGTTGTCAACTTTCAGATTGGGCAAAGCTGCTGATGGATAATGAAACTCTATATATGTACATACGTACATAAGCCTCCACGTAACGTAATAGCGGACAAGTTTTCATGAAGAAAATTTCTACTGATTTCTATTACGATCGATACTTGATTGTTATTACAAAAGTTGTAGTACATAATGATTCCAAGGAAATGATTGCGCCTCATTTAACTCAAGACGAATGAAAGGAATCGATAGTATAAGTACATTTCTTCACATATTGAACGATTCTTGAGGTTACACAAATGTATCAATCAACTCACTCGCTCGGGGCCTTTGACCAAGGTGACGATGAATGGCCTCGCCGCTTACATAAATTACATAACCCGTAATTAGTAATATCTTGAAAATTTCGATTCTTTGAATACATAATTTTTCTAATTTTAACCCCCACTTTTAAAAGAGCTTTATCCAATTAAGCTCGTAACCCTTGATTACATTACACAACGTACACTCCACCTCAATTTGGCACTCAAGTAGGGAGAAGAGCATGTAGAGAAATGAGAATCATTTCAACAGGCCATGACATGAATATGGGGGCATATAAGCGAGTTTCCTTTCCTTCCTTTTCTCTCAAAAAGTATAGCAGAACACAAATTAATTACAACTTTCTCTGCAACAATGTCACCAAATTAATTAAGTTTCTCTTCAACAACAACAGAGCTACCATTGTGACTCAAGTTTCTCTGACTTGGAATTTCCTCCCACGCTAATTATTTCTCTCCTTCAATAATGGTAAACATTTTGGAGAAATCAGTTTCAAATTGAATTCAGGACCAAATAAAGTTCGATCCGACCGACACAACCTTCAGCTTCGAGAAGTTTCCATCCATCAGAAATATATAGATCATGGATGGATGGATGGATGGGTTGATTTGCTGATTGAGAACTTGTACGGCACGTAACGCTCCTTTTCCCGTGTCCATAATTACGTCCCCTCCTGTCCCCATTATCTCCGTGATTATCGGTATCCCCATTATCTATCTATGGGTGTATGAATGTCCCATGAAATGAGGAAGGATGACTATATGGTATGATCACCTATAGCTAACTAACCATAACTTCGATTTTGTGATGCAAACAAATTAAAGAGAAATTATATTATGTAACTTGTCCAGTTTTCACTCACTTTTGCCGTCCTATTTTAGTAAACATGGTGAATTAATAATAGGGTAAAATTAAACTGTGAATATCTAGGAAGTAGTTAGTGAACAATCGTCTGGATATATGTATAAGTTGTATTGCATGGATAAATTATTTTAAATCACTATACACCATAAAGTGCGACAAAGCTAGATATATGTCACCACCACTTTCTCCCTGTTCTAAGACTTGGTACGTATTTGTGCATTTGACAGGTTTCACTGCTTTCTCAGTATTCAATTGATCTCTCACATAAACACGACAGCAAATTTCATAACTATTAACTTCCCTTCATACACTTTAAAGATGACCTTTGAATTTATGTATAATGTGTTAAAGATCTAACCGCACAATGGAAACCACAACCCCCATCCCAGGAGGATTGAACTTTACCATTTCCAAAACATGGGACGGTGGTGTGCCCTCCGACCACAGCGAGATCCACATCAAACTAACCCTCCAAGGGGAAGAAGACGCTCAAACTTTACTCATCCAGGTGGACGCCCCCTTCTTCAATGATCCCCAGCCCCCCGCCTCGCTTTCTCCGCCCGGGTCAACTCCCCAACTTTGGGACTATGAGGTCGTGGAGTTGTTCTTTCTCGGGGATGAGGACAAGTACTTGGAGGTCGAGCTGGGTCCGAGAGGTGATTATCCACACAACTAATTCGTGACCTTTGACCTACTTATATATTATCTTTTTTGCTGTTTTAGGCCACTACCTCGTCCTTCAACTCCACGGCGTTCGCAACATTATCCGCGAGCATTTACCTTTGGACCGATACGTGACCGAGGTGCGTGGGACACGATGGTTTGGCGAGGCAAGCGTCCCCCTCGCATATTTTCCACACAACGTCCACTCCACCAATATGTACGCCATTCACAAGTCGGACCCTCACCGAGTTTACATGGCATTGTCACCCGCAGTGGATAATTCCAAGTGTCCCCATTCGAGCCCAGATTTCCACAGATTGCAATATTTCCAACATATCGATCTCTTCCCGAGATTATGCAAGGGAGACGAGGCGGTTGGATAACTCTGATGACTATGTAGCAACTAATCATTAAAGTCATTACATACCGTCGCATTACTGATAACAAAGCGCAAATGCATGCACTGAGGAGCTACTTATCCAGTGAAATAGATATGTATGTATGTATGAGAGGTTTGAATTCTGATTGATGTTTCTACAACTGTTTGTGATTGCAACGAGAGGCGTAAAATTTTCTTATATAACATGACCATAATTTTGTATATGGAAATAAATAAATAATATTCTGTGAAAAATAAGTAGAATCAGAGACCACAACTTATTTTACGAAATACTGTCATCATTTATTTAGTAATACACATCAAGTCTAATTAACAGTATCGCATCTATAAATTTACTCGTATTTATTTATATCTATATATTCTAAATTATTTTATTGTGTAATAACTCAATCCAGTGGAAGAAAGTAAACGTAAAGAATTTCTCTAAAAAAATTCTCTAAAATGCGTAATAAGTTGTCAAGATCCGAGATTGTTTTTGAACTGAGTTGACTACTACACTTAATTTGCGTCCGATTAGCTACTTATTATTTTATTCCATAATTTTGTTCTTTGCAATATTTTTAGTTTTAGTTTCTCCACTCGGCTAGTTACTGACACGAAGGTAGGACATAACCATATTTAATCTACTTTATAACATTTACTCGACAAAAATGTATCCTACTTCCTGATTTTTGGTTTCAATAGATGTACAAAGTTTGATAATTTTATGAAGATTGTTTCGTAACTGATTGATCGGTAGGTCGTGAAGCATACATTACGGACTGCAGTAATAGGATAGGATTTTGTAATTGAGATCTAAGTAAATTTTAACAAAGTTTCTGAACAATCCATCCGCCTATGACTTATTTATGTATGTAAATAACTGACAGTAATAGTATTTTAGTGTATCCATGAAATATTATGATTAGAAAGGTTATTACATGTTAATCGATTTTTTTTTAGAAAAAGTATCCCTGCACAAGTCATAAAAAGTCATAGGTTAACAGTTACAGTAGTAAAAACGTTTCAGAGTCTAAAAATTTGAACTGTTACGTGAGCTTGAAAGCGACAATAAATGTCCGGGCTGAGTTGTAAATATTTTTGTCGTGAACATCTCATTTTTTTCATATTCAAATTGCGTATTAAAAGTTTTTTTTTCATCAAGAAATATACGAGTTAAGAGTTAAAAATGAATATGTAGGAAATCAATACGAGTCAAGATTACTTTCAGAAACTACACACGTAATTATAAACCCTACGACATTACTTTACTTATAGTTGATTCCCGTTATCCCAATCTCACCAAATTTATTCCTAGTCACGATCACGAACGAATATACGATAATATTCATGTTCCAAACTCGTCTGATTTCCAGGAACTGCTACAAATACGTACTACACACTACACTACAGGCGCTACACGACTACATGTTACATATAAATACCTGATGCGCTTTCTTACATTTTTATAAACACAACGAACGTCTCTTCTTCTTCTAAACTATGTCACTTTGTATATAAAATGCAAATCGAGTGGTACTACACAATCCTAAAGTATTTATACGTAGTGCAAAGCTTTTACTTCATCCCGACGGACTTTCCCCCCTTTTTTGCGTTGCGTGACTATCAATAAATATGAACAGTATTAACAAAATGAACACATTGATTTTCATGTGAATACCACTATCATAGCTGTGTCAGTATCGTTATTATCTAACAAATTCACTAGTACTACATATTTACAATGTAAAACGAATACGCACCACTAATCTCACATTTGTAAATAAATAAATAAACAAAAAAAAACATTCAACAAGAGCATAATTTTATACAATTGGAACACATCTCTGCATTATTAGTACAAAAACACACGCTCAAATGTAAAACATTTCTGCGTTTGATCAAACGCAATAAATAACAAAACAAGTGGTAGAGTAACAAATAACGATAACATGAACAACAATGCAGTGATTTTTTTCCTGGTGGAATTAATTGGCAGTGAATTAATTACTCGTATATTTATCCAATATAATGCATATCATGACTACTATAAGCTTCAGTTCAATATACACAACTTGTACATGCGACTATCAAGAAGGGCATTGATAACGAAACGAGGAAAGAAACCACATTTAGTATAACAAACAACAAATGCGTGAAAAACTTCGTTAGCGTCGAACTTTCTAAATAAAGAACAGTAAGTAAAAACATTATATTTAGTATGAAGTTAACAAAAAAATCACCGACGCGTTGGCAGCATTTGGTTATGGGGATGATCATGATTATTATTGTTATATCCTTGTTGTGGAAGTCCATGAGATTGATGATGATGGGAGGACGACGCGGACGAGGAATTGAGATGATGGTGTGGTTGAGCTTGTTGTTGGCGAGAGGATGAGGTATGGTTGTAGTGGGAGTTATAGTGAGGCTGCTGTGGGTACATGTCGTGAATCCCCTTATTAGTACTTCCGGGTGGAGGGGGATGAGATGCGGACGACGAGTAGGATGATGACTGTGGGTAAGGTCCTAGTCGGTGATATCCATTGCGATGCTCATATGGTGCCTTATTTCCCCCCAAGTGCTGGCCACCATTGTAATACGAACCAGTACCACCACTACTACTGCCTCCTCCAGCCCCTTGTTGTGCGTATGCGGATGGATGGATTTTAGGGCTTTGCATGACTGGGTAGGCCGAATTCGAGGGGTGTGGTTGTGCTTGCTGTCGTCCAAATCCTGCAGTTGGAGGAGCAGAATTGTTAGTGTGGTGCTGGTGGGTCCCGTACATGTTATTTTGGCCTGGCTGTTGCTGCTGAGAGTACGAGTTGGCCTGGTGGTAATTATTACTATTCGACTGACCATGTCCACCAGGAGGATGAGGTGGTTGATAGCCAGTTGCAGCGGCAGGTGGGGGCACAACCATTTTTTGATTTGAACCGTTATTGAAATGGTTGTGATTTGTGGGGTTGTAATTTCCCGAAGAAGTCTGCTGCTGTTTGTACAGGTTATTATTATAAGTCGACGACTCGAAATTGGACGACGAAGGATTGCCAGTGGTGTTGTTAGTCGCAGGTCTATTTCCACTATTCAGGGTTTGCATTATCACCTGGTCAACGGCAGAAAGAATCGACTTGCCCGAATGAGGGGGTGGAGGTGGTGGTGGGATTCGCCCGATTGGGAGGGGGACACAAGACTTTGGCTGTTGCTGTTGCTGCTGAGGTGGGACGATATTCATATTTCCCATTGGTCCATTAGCATGTTGTTGCTGCTGATGAAAATGCTGAGGATGTTGATGATGTTGCTGTCCAATGCTTGGCACAATTCCGGTGGAAGTTACTTTGACGTTAGGCGGTGGAAGTGGGAGGTGATTATTAGTTTGACTACTCGGATAACCTTGAGAGTGCTGTTGCTGTTGTTGTGGGGCGTACGAATTGGGAGAAGGACTCGAATTATAAGGACTCCCACTACGCATCTCTGTATTCCAATCAAACCCTTTCCCCTTGGGTCGAAATTTCGATGCTGCCGCACTCATAGCACTGCTACTTGAATGCAGAGTAGAACCAGGGTTTAGCACAGGATTGTTAGCAGGAATGCCTTGGTTAGTCGTCGTCGCAGTAATCGGAATATGACCCGTATCTGCTGTAGAACTACAATCCGACGCAACACTGCTTCTCCCATCAACAGATCCTCCTGCCTGTGGTGAAGATGGTCTCACCGGTCCCGTGTGACCCCAATTGTTCCACCGTTTCTTTGGATGACACTGCTGATCCGAAGAAGAAGAACCACTTGCCGGATTATGATTAACTATTGGTGTTATAGTTGCAGCTGATGACGCTGTAGAATTTCTGTCTTCTACTACTTTCTCCCCTACAGCACTAGTCTCATTACTTTTGCAATCCACCTCCATTTTCGGCTTAATATCTACGGATGATGCCTTGTTTACAGGGCGATAGGAATCCACTTCTGGAGTTACATTCCCCACCATCATTTTTGATTGTTGTAGCATTTTCTTAAAATCCATCCCTTTTCCAGGGGTAGGAATACGTGGGGGTGGTTCATCCATAAGGTCATCCTCGTATAGTTCATCGTTCCGAGATGGAGACGGCGTGCGAGGTATTCCCATCGGTGGTGGGGTAGGAGATCGTCTTCTGTAAATACTATTCTCTCGGTGACGTCTCCCTTTTGAAAAAGAGTCCACTTCAGCGGAGTGGTTCCAATGATCCAATGAGGAGAGTGGGAGATCGCGCCCTATCCCAGAATCGGGTGACGTTTCCCCATTCGTGGCGGAGGGTGTCTTTGGTCTGTCATTGTAATCTGAAGCTTTCAAGTTGCCCGTGGTGGTGGACACGTGCCCATTTCTAGGTGACATTCCGGCAGCTTCAGTACTTCGGCGGCGTTTATCCACCTCGTTCGTCGCGAAACAGAGAATCCGGTCGAACGTGCTATCAAAATCAGCTCGAGGAGCTGAGCTTCCAATACCTACACAAACAAATGTTAGTAATTATTATTTATTACAATAAAATTAATAAGTAAAATGTATTTTATCTAAAATATTCTTTTTAGTGAAACAATATAGACAAGTTTGTACCATGATCGTCCATCAATCCTCCCGGTGTCGGTACTCTGCTTCGATAGCCATTGACCGGCGTCAGTGTCGCCAGTCCTGGAGAATTCCTCAGCTCAGGAGTGTAATGATGCGCAGAGGATGGGCGAGATAGCGGTGTCGAAGCCGACCCAGGTCGAGGACTTGGAGTAGATGGTGGAAATGTAGGAGTTGGTGTCTTTGGCGGTCCTATGATGTCAGGAGTGGGTTGCTTCTTGGGTGGGACCGAAATTCCCTAAAAAATTATACAACATGTAGTTTTGGAAACGACGAGTGTGATACGGTAGTCTCTCACTCATCGTGCACTTTAGTGTGAATTGTTAACTAACGACAAATATTAGTAGCTGCTTATAGCTCCATATTGACTAAGGTTTTCATCATCACCTACTAACATGGGATTTCGACACCAATTCAAACCATTGAAAATCAAACCGAAGCAACAATCTGCGTTAATTGATTTTATCGAAGGGGCACCAGAAGAGGTATGCATTTACTAACCAGACTGCATAAATAAAACTTTATAGAACATTGAAAATAAACGCAATTCTTTCCTAGACGTTGCGAGAAATATTCAACCGGCTGCCCCTTGCAGATGTCCTAAACTGTCGTCTACTCTGTCGAACAATGCTAATCAAAATAGATGCCAATGGATATTCAAAAGACCTCAAGGTTGTACTGGAAGGTGAGAATACGCCAAAAGATAAAAAACCTCAATTCAATTCAGTAAAAACAGTACGACATCTCTCTTCACCACGAGTCGCAAGTCAACTAGAAAATCTGCTCGTTCGAAACCTATTAACCACCAGGATTTCTCGAAACTATGTCAAGAACAGTTTCTATTGGGTGCGTTCGGTTGAGATCTGTGGCCAAATTAAGACCTCTACATTTCTCCTTCTTGCGCAAGAAATCCCATGCCTTGCAAACTTCAGAGTTCACAGCCTAACTTTAGGAGGTCAGTTGAGCTCCCACTTTTTTGCAAAATTTTGTAAATTAAACGTTTACGTAAACACACTTTAAAATTTTAAATTAAATTATATATCTTATATTAGGACCACTTAGCCTGACCCAGGCAAACCTGTCCAACAAAACGTCACCTATCAAAAATCTTGACCTAATCCTTGACTTTGTCCCTTGTTCCATGACCACAACTTTCTCACCTTCACGACTCGTTACAAATCTACTCTTATTAAAATTCTGGGACCTTCCGTATCTTTCCACTATTTCATTTTTAATCAAAACTTCGACATTGAATGAACAATTCTACTTTGGCTTGGACACTCTCATTTCCAGCATTCCAATCACTTCTTATAACTCTTTGAAAGTTTTAAAAGTCAATTCCTCAAAATTAAAATCAACCAGTTTAGCAGCAAAAGTCTCAATTTTAAATACATTACAGAAGATTTCTATACAAAACAGCAGATTGCTTGTTACATTGGAATCTAAAAACACAGAGTTACCTGTTCCTGGTAACTAATTATTATGAACAGTAAAGAAATCATTAAGTAACTAAACTTACATTAACTTCTCCGACCCTCTTTCGCACCAATTGTAACACGCTCCCGTTGGAATTACTGCTGTTATCGTTCTTGCTCTTTGGGACGAGACCCTCGGGACCTTCTGAACTTTGAAGGACGACTTCCACCGTGACACGTCCATTCGCCGCCTCTACGAGTTTCTTCTCTTTCACAAGAGGCGAATTCAGCAACGGGTTTGTACTTTCAAGTTGAGACGATGAAGCCTCCTCATTCCGACTGGCAGTTTTCTCTAAACTGTTGGCAGACGATTTCGCAAGCGATAGTAACCTCGCTTTTAGCCCCGCAGCGAGTCCTTCGTTCATCCCTGCATCCATTCCAGGTTTGGATTGTGTGTTCACTAACACGGTGGCTCGAGAAACTTGGAATCCAGATGACGACGACGACAGCGATTCGGGAATGTTCTCGTTCGAATTTGGTCTTGAAATTGGGGAATATACTGCTCGAACAACGGGAGGTGAAGCGGAACTCAACGGGGTACGGCATCGCCCATGGTGTGTAACTCCTAACGAACTCTCAATCTCATTCGTCATCAAGTCGTTGATTGAGCGAGGTTTATTCCCAGGACCGAAGTTGAGATTTCGCACCACTTTCTGTTGTTCAAGGGGAGAAGAGTTATTGACGAGATGCGTGCGAAGAGCGGCTTTGCCGGGAGTGCGGGTATTGTTACTGTATCCAAGGATGATATCTGGAGAAAGTTGGAGTTTCTTCTTTTGTGAGCTGCCATCATTAGGGGAGGACCGAGGCGGAGTTGTTGGCAAGTTATTTTGTGAATACGAAGTAGTAGAAGTCACACTTCTGCCCGTCACCGATTTCGGCCCATAATTTGTGTATGGGGACGTAGTCGGAGTGGCAATCGTGTTGTTTGATGTTGCACCTTGCTGACCTTGCTGGCCGGTCGCCGGATCTTCATTCAGCACAGATGTAATAATACTCTTTAATCGATCCTCGTAGAAATTCACTTTGGGGGCAGGAATAGTGTCATCTTTATAGGAAGAAGAATGATCCATCGCTACCACACTGTTGTTATTTCCAGATTTCCTCCTACAATTCGCAATCCTCTCTGGACTCTTCCTTGGGAGTTTTCCAGCCTCAATTTTCCTCCCAGTTTCAAGTATCTTTTTCGCCAACATTTCCGGATTATTTTCGTTAATTTTCCCAATGTCAGGGATATCCGGCCATTCTTGAGATCTACTGCGTGCCATATTCTTATCTTTCCGTTGCTGTGTTGCAGTACTTGAAGAGGATGATTTTGGCGACACTGACACGATCTGTAGTTTCTGGTGCTGCTGTAGGACAGCGTGTTGTTGTTGTAGGGCACTGATTTCTTTCTCTGAGGCCACAATGTCCAATTCATACTGGGCCAGACGACTCTCCAAGTTTTTCCGATAGGATAAGGTGGCCGTGATTTCGGTCCTGTGAAAAGACAATGTTATAACTTTAATGCATGAAATTAAAAGATGGGACATTATAGCATGTACATTGACAGCGAACTCACTCAATTAAATAATCAATAATAATTGTGTACCATTTCTCAAAGATTAAAAATCAATACTTACATGAGGAATTTCCGACAGATCTTTTCCAGATCAGAGTCGGGAAGGGTTGCTCCGTTTACGATACCCGCTTGACGACATTTTTCGAGCATTTCTTTCTTTCTCTCTTCAACGAACGCTTCTTTAGATTTCTCCAGTTTCGCGACTTCGTTTTGCAACTTGGTCACTTCAGCTTGGATTTCCTTGTGGCGCATGACAATATTACGAGCCTGGTAGAAAAAATACACGTTTAAGAAATCTGCACAATTTTAGCAAAACAATTTACATATAAAAATACTTACTTCAGAAAGAAGTGTGTCTGCCGTTGCTCCCTCACCCTGAATATTAAGTTCTTCCAGTTTCGATCTCAATAACTTTGTAGAGTCCGAAATCAGCTTGGCAATATGTTTATCCAGCTGGTCTTTCCGGATGACGAGGTCCTCTTTCCTCCTCTTTTCAACCTCCACTTGATCCAGCAATTGTCGCCTGTACTGAGGCGATTTCATGGTCTCGATAGCATCCAAGAATTGATTTTTGTACATTTCGAGAAGCTTTTGCAATGCGTACGGCGTGTTTCGAGTTGTTATGGGCATTTCTTCATGTTTTATAATTCCCGTCGTGGCAGCGCTGCTTAGCTGGGTCAATTTTTGATCTATCGTACCTTTTGCGGCCGGCAGTTTCTTTCCTGTTAAACGCAATAAACATAATGATCAAGTATTTTCCACTAAACAATTACATATGTATAACCAAAATGAACAATAGGTAAATAAACACCTTGAGGAGACGTGCTAAGGAGCGTTTGGCTGTGCAGAAAATCAATCGCTGACAACTTCGGTCCAGTTATTTTCAGCCCCCGCTTATTCTTTGTCTTCTTCAACCGTCCCTTCGGCTTCCTTCCGGCCGTACTGCCACCTCTCGCAGTGGTTTGAATGGGTGGAGGAGGTAAATTAATATCCAACTGTTTAGAATCGGCCAACATTGCTTCTAAACATGGGTCATCGTCATCCTTGATATCCATCTTGACCTAAACAACATAGTTTACATGAATTGATTGACTTATTATTTATTTATTTATTTAATTATCCCTTTAATCGATAAAAAACTCACCTTTCTAACCTTATTACTCCTGGATAACTTCTTTCTTAACACTTTCTTCTTTCCGCGAGGCCTCCCCCTGCCAGATTTTGGATTGTTTCGATTAGAATGCGGAGCAACCGTGTCGTCTTCACTATTTTCCTTCGAACTTTTCCCTCTACTAGAGCACTAATTTTTGTCAAGTGAAACAAAATTATTTGTTAAATCATAAAATCAGTCACCACGTCATACATACTTAATAAATTACATCAATATTTACCCAATCTGACCAAGCCCTGCGTGTCGTTGGTCCAACGACGACTCCGTTGCTGGGTTCGTCACTTACGTCACTCAAATCTTCGTTATTATTCTCTTTTGGTAATGAATTATTCGAATCGTTTGAACTTGTTTCGATCGATTTTAGCCCGTTGATTTTTATTCCATTTGTCAAATGTTGTCTGCTGGAGTGGGAGGATGAACTATGGTCAATGTTCATGGATTTACTGCGTCCACGATTGTGAAGGGAACTGCTAGCTTGCTCTTTCTCTCTAATGCCGGACTTGCCCTTTTCAAAGTATCGATGCAGCTTGGTGGAGTCAATTACATGCAGAAAATACGAGACCGGCTTGTCTGTCCAGGAGACGGATCCCTTCATTGGTTTTAGTTCCGATACATGCATCTGTGAATAAGAGATTATATATGCATATATTATTATATTATTATTATATATATATTATTATAGGAAACTGTTGATGGAGACTGTAAGACTCTGTAAATTTCGTTGTTTAATTGTTTTAATTGTAGAGTCTTACAGTCTCCATCAACAGTTTCCTATAATAATTCAATATTATATGAATTATTACAATAGTCCCAATGTCGGTTAAATTCCTGGTAATTTAAATGATTCAATTTTTGTTAGTGTACACCTAAAATTTGCAATACAGATTGTAATACAGATTTGTTTATTAATACATACCGATCCGTTATTCTGAAATTCAGTGGGCAAAATGTCTTTGAGGAAACAATACGAGCACCGTCATTTAAATCCGCAAACCGCTCCTTTAATTTGTGGTCCACCGTGGGCCCAAAGGCGAAATTATTAACAAACACGACTGTCGCCTTTTTAATCAAATCTTGCAGATCACCGTGGAGAAAGTCTCCCTTCAAAAGGGTATATTCACTATGAACTTTCCCATACCACTTCATCCACCTACGGAAATGTGTGTTCATGTCCTATAGAAAACCAAAGTAAAAATAAAAAATTATTCTTAACTATTTAGCACAGATTCGCACGGCACAAGAGTAGAGTGAAATCTCTACTCTTTTGAGCAGAGAGGTTATTCACTTTTACTTATTGCGCCGCACTTTCTCCACTGCTCCACCAGCTCATTCATACTATACGTACCATAGCGTAAGTTGAAGGGATTTCTGCTTTCTCTATTCCATAGCAGTTCTGGCACTTGGTGGATGCAGCCACTTGCAACACAACCTGTCCAACTCCGGACCCCAAATCGATAAAAACATCATCCTCACTTATCTCGATCTGGTCAACCATCTGACATATAAGTTCGAACGATGTTTCTCCATACACTGTACAAGAAACAAATTAAACGTCATTTTTTTACTTCCTCATGTGTAAAATAAGTAATCATTACTTCTTCATAAAGAAATATGTAATACGTACCTTCTGGAGAGAAGGGCTCATAATTGTTCAATTTTTCCGGATCCGTCACCGCCATGTTGTAAACCTGCTGCAGAATATGTTTTAGCAAGAGTCGGGAAGGCTGTTTGTTCAGCCTCTCCTTCGGTTTAGAGGTTCCTTTCTCCTGCAATAAACACAAGTCACAAATTATTATTCAAAATACAAAATCTTTTCAGCATGAAAACATAATCAAGTTGTAAATCATTTGTCGTAGGCAATACACAATAATCTCAACAAAAGCCAAGTCTACACAATCGAGTAATTTACCAATTGAAGGATAGAGTCGATCGCCCTGTTGTAGCGGTCGCAGAGGTTCTTCATACTTTCGAACGACTGAGGGAGATAATCGTTCAGGCAATTATTTTCCATTGCTATCTTCAATTCTGGAAAGTCCTCGCAGACCCATCTGAAAGGAGAAAAGACAAAGTTGATTTATTTGTCATTTGTACTTTTGTCTCTTAATACAAAAATTTTGGTTTGATTGAATGTGCATATTTTTTCAATGAATCGGTAACTAAAATTCCAGTAACTGTAAACATTTTTTATGACCAACTAACCCACAATTTCCTAACAAGTATAAGAATAAGTTTTTTAACAGTAACAGCAGCAGCAGGATGTTTGCGACCGAATAGAAATACTCTTCCTGGTCCTGACCAATAAACTCGTAAAAACCTATAAACCTAATTGTTTACTAACAAATTATCATTATAAATCGATGCCATTGCTTTTATTATGACCATATACATACACATTAAGAAGGACCAGAACCGACCTTCCCACTTATTTAGAGACATTTCTTCACTACGAAGTTCATTCCATACTCTGGCTGGACTCAAGTATTTTTCATGGGAATAATTTGAGTGACCATAAACGGTAGGGGCATGAACCGCAATAAAAGTTTGTCCTTGCTTTATTTTTACCATCTCTCACAACAACCTCGACCATCGAGTCACTTGACACGGAAAACTTATTACGACACCCAAGAAGAAGAATTATTTAAAAGCAACATTGCACAATTCATGACCTGGTGCAAATTACATTACTGCAGACACCACCACATGCAATTAGTCTCCTCCATAATTAATTATAACTATTGATTTTTACATCATCCAAGAAATAGAGAAAGCAGCATCAACGCAGTGTGATAACAATTCCGAATTTTATTGCTCACAACACCTCATTTCATATCGGAGTTGCAATCATGAAAACATTTGTCCGTGCCCTAGTTTTCATCTACTATATAACGTCACGTTTTATTTAACCATTACTCATGAAACCATAAATAAATATCATCAAATATCCGAAACGGAGGATGGATAGATAACAGCAAACGAAGGCGATAATAATATTTACACTAAAAAAAGAGAGAAGAGCAACAGATCATTCACACCCGTGCAACGCATGCATACCACAAAATACTACCAGCCACTACTCTCCAAGTTTAATAATTCACCAGCCAGTTTTAGCCTGTGTTTATCCTTGTCGTAGTAAATAGTCGTAAAAAACTTGGATGGGCAGCATGGTGCAGATATATTATTAGCAAGTATTGATTATTTTTGTTGTTGAAGGTAAAACTTTTACCGTCCAAAACTTTGCCAATCTTTTCTGCAGGAATGCTCTCCTCTCTTATTAAATGCAAACTCTGCAATCATTTTATAAAAGGTGCCACATCTTTAATAATTCATATCCACCATGAAATAATACTATTGCATTGCAATGCCAAAAATTCATCATGCTATGTTGGTCAAACAACGGAATTCAATGGTTTAGCAAGTATGCAAAAAAACCTGCTATCTACTTTATTACTTGCATTGCTACTAGATACATTGCCCAGTACAGTTTTGTTGCTAACTTTTGTTGAAAGAGAAAAATATTGCACACGAACGATATACATAATATAGAAAGTGCGTGGTAATTGTGCGTACGTGTCTTTCTTATGTATTTGCGTGGCATGGTGAGCGTTGTTATTTATCGAGCTCTCCACTAACTACCAACTTAAATGGTGGTGGAGGTATTACATTATTCCGTAGAGGAAGGAAGCAAACAGCTTTTTGGTCTGTACAGCTCTTCCTTCATGACGAAAAGACGGCTTAAACGGCAATCTAAGTATATAAGTAAAGTAATAATTGCGCTCCTACTATATCCCATCATATCGACCGAACTTTACCGTTAAAATAGTTTCCTATTGCTTTTCTGAGCTACCAACAACCAATATTTGCTTCACTTTTGGATAAAGAAGAAACGCCGGTGGGGAATCGATGAGTGCTTATTTGTCGACGGATTGGCATTATTATTATGATTTGACGATTTGAGATACATGCATACATCCATCCAATTCTCATTCAGTTTCACATAAGTTATTAATCAATTATCGACTATTAGAGAAATGACTGGCAATCTGAAGAATGCTTGGTTTACATATTCACCCTGAAATTGTAATACTTGAATTGTAATGACTCTGAAATTAATACCAAATATAAATGTGTGGTTTTTGTAGTAATGGAAAAAAACACCCCCATCGCGACCAATACTACTCCCAAACCAGACACAACATTCTGTTTCTAGTCTGCTGATGTATGTATGCCATAGTGTCGGATCAATTTTCTTCCTTGTTGGAATAATAAAAGTAAATCAATAAAATAAAAGCGCTCTTGAATTAGGTTTCGCTTTACACGTGAAAACACGCAAGGGAGGCAAGAAGGGTAAAAACTATATACGTATCAACTGGAAAACCACATTAAATTATTATGACTGCAGTCTCGAAGCTCAAAATTAGTTTAGCTTCTTGTTTCGCTATCTACTAGAAATTCGATCCAACAACCAAAAGAGAGCAACAGACAGACCCATGCTTTTCACAAAAATGTACAAGAATACCACCCGTCTCCATTTTATTATAGGTGGGAGCAAGTAATAGGATCAATAATAATATACCAAGTTAATATTAATATTAATTTGCTTGCCAAAAATGCAATTTATTTACTCGTCGTATGCATAGCTATTATATTGATGAAGTAATGTGATACGCATAAAAAGACGAGAAATATTTACCCCTGCTTATTAATAATGTACTGCATTAGGAACCGAAAGAAAATCTACACCAAATGTGTATTATTAGAGCAGTAATTTATTTAAATATGGTAAAATTGCACCCTCAGCAGCCCCCATTAGAAATATAATACAGACATCCCCCTACGCAATCATGAAGGTCTTATTCCTATAAAAGTGCTTTCTCCACCAGGAAAACTCTCAAAATAAACCTTGCTCTCTCTCTCTTTCATTTATTTTCTTACATACTTTCCTCCTCCGCTTTTCACCTACTATACTACTCGAACAACCAGGATCGATTTTCCCTCAGACGAGTTGGATGCTGTGCTCGCAAGTTTTCTCCACAATTTGGTCGATTGTGAGGAGATTGAAAGCTGTGGGGAAAGTGAAAGTATGGACAGCAGAGAGTCTGGAGTGCAGCAGACGTATTGCCTCCGTGAGTAGGATTCACAACAACCAGCAATTCCCTAGTTTTCACTGAAATAAAGTATTTCCTCAGACTAAAATTCCTCCAATTATTTTCACAACAACCTTATCTGCAAGACAATTTAAGAAATAATTATGCCATTGCAGTAATTGCGGAGCCCCTCAAAAACAAAGTAAACAAAATAAACCCAAAGTCCATTCAACCCGAAAGTAATAATACCTACTGTTTGCCAAACTATTCTAATTGCTGCTTTCACCGAACCAGGAATATGCAATCACACAACACGGGAACTTTCTCCTTGAACTACCTTCACAATTTCTTCCCCGAAATGTTTTTAGGGCTTAATGCCATATGCCATATTCCGTGAGTGAAATATATATTGTGCAAGTTTTGCTTTCACCAAAAAGCAGCCACATCCCAGAATTCATTCCTTGCGCGTTGCGTTGCGTTGCACCCACCACACGAACGACGACACACAAGTCAACTTTAGCATTTACACTCCTCCAACTCTCTCCACGACCATCCAGACGATTTTCGACACACAAGAAGCTACTTTTATATGGAGCAAGCAAGAGCATTCAAGTGCAGGCAGGTAGTATGTTTGGATGGAGGAGGGTTGGTGGGATATAGGAAATAAAGCTGCTGTGAAATATATACGAGAAATGGCAGATCGATGAAACGCCACGTGCCTAGAACCCCATGTCATGTCCTCCTCCTCTATATAGCACACCACCACCAACATCAACATCTACTACTTGTACTCTGTTGAACTTCCACAACTTCCATCCGCTTTTCGGGAGATTCGGAGCAAGTTTCTATTGAACCAAAGTTTCTTCTCTCACTCTCTCTCTCTTTATACAATAATAACAGTGAGATACGCGACCAAACTTTATACTCTTCTTCTTCTTCTCGGCGTAAAATTGCATTCTATGTACCAAACCAAACTCTGACTGAATCAGAAGAAAGAGCAGCAGCAGCAGAAAGGAGACAGGCTACGAGACCAGAATATAGACTACATTTACCAAGTTTACTTCCCATCTCCTAAAATACGAAATCTATTCCAGAGCACGGAATAGGAATATATGATTATATTATGTCCCATCATCATCCCTCGTCTATAGCAGTCTTCTGCTGAATGTATAAAAAAACCTCCTAATACGGAAAGAAAATTGCACACCCTTCTCTTCACTACATTCCCTCCTTTGTTGGGATTATCATCCTCCCACCCACAACCACCACCACCATCATCCAGTCTGAGTTTGTTTGACTAGAGAAAGCACCAAAGAAAGGAGCAGGCAGATAGCGAATTGTGTAATAATACAAGCATCTTTATTTTACTCAGGTTCTATATATTCCAATTTTCCTATTCAACAAGAACATGTTATATTTAGTGGCGGTCTTGCTTTCACGAAAAATGCTACCGTTTTCAACAACATCCACAAAGATGGGAAAGATTCGCTATAAAGAAGAAGAAAACTGAGCTGAATGTGTCTCGTCTATGCTTTCTCTCATTCAACCACGACGACACGGTCACTATAAGTAAAATACTTTTGGCTAAGCTTTCTCTCAGCGAGTTCCCTCCTATTTTTTTTCTTATTTGGGCTATGACTATAAGTGTACGATAGCTTTTTCTTGTATCTTGGATAGGAAATCATGCCGTATCAGATTTCGCTTCTTCTTCTCTCGTTTTCTTCTTTCCCAACCTATTTAATACCAGACTGAAACTGAATCACATAAAAATCGATTCGCTTCTTTCACAAACATTGAGTTCTAGGGAAATAAATTGGAAATTCGAGCTGGATTGGAGTTTAATCAAAAATTCCAGTAAGAATTGATTCCGTTTTGATTAGGTTTTTTTGCTAAGATTTCACAACCACTATTAACTTTTGAATATCTAATTTAAAAACAAGTTTCAAACCTTTCAAATCAAACTTTGTAATTGGTAAAAAAGTCAGAAATATATCGTATATCTTGGTTTTATTTGAATTGCAAAATAATTGAATCATTTCCTAGTTATTGAATTGACCAAATCTCACAACAAATATTGTATTCGTATCTTCTGAATTCATGTAAATCTGTGACTACCTATAGCATAAAAAATGGCACATTTCTCATTTCATGAATAAGTTATCCTTTAGATAATTTACCACTCTCAACTCTCAACATGTGTCACGATTTTGCTGACATTTTAAGCCCAAAAGAGTCAGAAAGACACGTACCCTTTTTCTCATCCTCGACCCTCACCACCCTAACCTAAGCGACTAAACAATACCCTCTACATTATGATTTAAATCCATTGCATACATACAGCAATTCGGGAACAAACCCGACCACCCGAATCAATGAAGCAGGCAGGGAAGCAGAATTCACAAAGGGATGATGATGATGATGAAGGGGTGCAATTCGTTCGTTTATGGAGGAAATCTGGGCAAAAATAGGGTATGACATTTGGACGAGGACACTTGCTATAAAACAGACTACTCATTCCCTTATACAGCTAGTCAAATAATTTTATTACCCTCGTACAGTACATACACCAACACACAAGACCACGTCCAATTTCATAACACATAATATTATCGCCTTCCCGTCCCGTTTGGAAAACTACTGCAACTGGAATCGATGAGGGTTGTCTTGTCTGTTGTAAATGAAATAAAGTAGACAACGACAACAAGGACCTTCATTTCATTTCATGCCTACATTTCAATTTCATCTCGAGTTTGACTGACGGATATCGGGGAAACAGTAAACCAAAACCTTCCACTATATCTACAACCACTTACCCTACTTTCAACTAATAAATTGCAGTCCTTTCTCAACAATATAAAGTAAATGGTGTAGATCTTAACGAAAGATATTGCCTTTTCTTTGATAGAAACTGGACTATACATTTCCTCAGAATAATAAAACGAGCATATGCCCGTGACCATGCTGCCCTTAAAAAAACGCATGAAACGGATATCAATTCTATCATTATTTCCTTAGACTAGCAGCAACAGCTGGAACACGGGATATTTTTTTAATATCATCAATGAAGATGTATTTTTGCTAATCTTCAAATTATGGCAAAAATTGTGCAAAAATCAACCGCCACTTTCCATCCGTTGTAACACATATTATAATGCATCACAATTCTCCATTATGTTCAGTTCCTGTCCTAAACAAGGACTGGCTATCTAATCTCAACCAAAAAGTATGCATAATCGCCCAACCCTCGGGCTAAATAATACGAGCCATCATAACTGCTGAAAAGCTTTCAGGAACAACAGGTTACAAACCGATGCCAAACCACGAAACGAAATATTATACGATTACAACAAGCTAGAGAACAATGCATTGGCTGGAAGTCACATATGCCAGCTGGATGAATACCTGTATATGTACCTGCTATATTCACATCTAAAACCATCATCATCCACAGGACTATGATTATTATCCAACTATGTACATAGATAAACGCCCACAGCAATATTCACACGATGCACCAACCAACCCTATCTACTTGCATAGCTAGCTAGCTTTAATAGCATATCTTCTTAACAAACTTGTACTCTGTGGCAGTATGTAAAACGAGTCAACTATTGCTAGACTAGGATCCCTGATCTATCTATCTGTTCAGACTCATCAGTTTTACCTGCTGAACCAACTGCATCTGATGATCTAGTGGGACTATTACAAACTTATTTTACATGTAAATACTAGTAGAACCGGATCCACCAAATTTCGTCTTATCCTTGTTAAAGAACGGGAGCGTTAAAAGGTTCTACGTGTCCTGGAGCAGCAACAACAACTACATTTCTTCAACATTATGCACTTATTTCCAGTCTGTCTCTCTTTTGAACCAATCTGAGCAAGAAATTTGTCCAAATATCCTGTTTGATCTTTCTCAGTTTAATGTAAATCTCAAAACAATGCGATGAATGACGAGTTGTATGGTGTAATGGGCAAACAAACTAGGACTTTTTTTTACTCATTTGCAGATTCTTACAAGAGTGTGCAAATTAAATTAATTTAATTACCATTAATAATTTTAACTACGCATGGTATGGCTAGAATATGCACAAGCTGTGCAAACTTTTATATTCATCCTCAATACTATTTCGTCATACCTTTGTTTCCATCCCTCGTTTAAGAAAATCTTGTTTGCAAAAAAGCTCATTTGATTCACAGACATCACGTCTTCGTAGTGTTACAAAATAATGGTGATCTTGACTATTTGAATGTCACCCTCTAGCCATGATCATGATCAAGATTCTCCTTAACCTTTACACATTTCACAATGATAGTCAAATCTATCTAATGTAGGTAGATACACAACACACGCATGCAAATTGCAAACCATCTACTTTTGATGACAAACGACACTGCCTGCATGTATATGCATGTGTATGTAATGTAGAATGTACATGGTATGTACACTGTCAACTGTACAATACATACGCGATTAACATAAATGCATTTTTCTTTCATTTTATGCACATCGTCATTCCTCACTCACTCGACAGTTGCATTTTGGTGCTGGTCATAAATAATTCCCCACGTAAGCAAATACTCCACTTCACTCCAAATCTCCATACATTACAAAAAGTTTTACTATTTGGCTTGGCTAAAAATTAAAGTTTAACTCCACCGAGGATGATAAAATGATGATGAATAGAATTCCATCATCATCAGCCAGACAATTGCAGACTCGATGCAAAACTGTAACCGCTTCACATTTTACCAAGACTAAAACTTGAGCTGTGTAAAGGGTTATCAACCTTGTTATTTACCACGCCGCATTTAGGTATACTCTATTGGCCTTGGGAAGGGAAACCCAATTCGCTAACATGTATAAATCTCTACGTGCTGCTGCTGCTGGTACGGTGATGAGGAGAGTGGCTCTTTTATACAGACTACAGAGATTATTATTATTATAAAGCAGGGTGCACTAAATTATTCAAAATCTTGCCAATGTACTATCATCTAACAAATATAAAAATGCATCAGTGCATTCACTTTGCAAAATAATGCCCCTATTACATGGCAGTATAACGGAACGCATGACGCACACACCCGTACCGTATCCAAAACCAACGCACTTTCTATCATCACATGAGAGATAAAATGTTTTCAAGTAGAATGATATTTGCTATATGGTAAATCTTTTATATTTTGCAAACTGCGAAGGAAATTAAATATTTTTTGTATCTCGTATTGTGTGGGTGAGGAATTTGCAAATGGGAAATGCGTGTATTTTACATCACACTCGGGTAAAACAATTAATTTCATTTAATCTTGAAACCAACCTGCCGAGCCCAACCTTTACTAACTTCCTTTCTCGTGTGGATATAAAGTAAACATCTGGCCTTAGTATTTTTGTCTGACTTGTATTATTTTTTTCGTTACGACACACAGAACTCGCGTCTTAAGACTATACTAAATAAGTTTCCATCTTCTCACATCATGTCAAACAATAGTTTCCCTTTTATAATAAGAAGCATGTTCTATTTGCCAAGAAAGCCATATGGAATTTCCTGTCTTAAATAAAGTGCATCTGTGATGTGTCTTCATGTTGTCTGTGGTTGGTTGGTGGAGGTAGATGGGTAAATATAGCTCGACATGGCTCGTGTTTAATGTAATAATTGTCTTAAGTAAAACGGATTCATCATCATGAATGATTCTAAGAAGTTAAAACCTTCACTTATCTAAGTTAGTGAAATTCAGTCTCTTTTACTTTTTACGTGATCCAGTTAACAAACTAATTGTTTTTTCTTAGCAAGTTTGTACAAAAACGAAACCTTTGATTGATCTCATCCCATCCCTAAATTAACATGCACTTCCGTTCCGTGAAATATGTATATCTTACCAACACGCATCGTGTTACGAAGTGTATGCATATGTTTTGCAGGAAATGACGAGATGATTGATTCAACATTCGGGTAAATTTGTGAATTACTATTATTTGTGAGTTCAGTACGTGCGTATTCACAGAATTCCGAGTCATGTAGTATTTAGAAAAAATAATGCTGCATAATTCATGAAATGCAATCACATTATCTTATCTGTAGCCAGCCATTAATAATCAGGTCAGTCACAGAGATAGCAGGCTGCTGAAACAATACACACAACTCGGAATGATGATACGTGTATGATGATGTCGTTTGCACCAAAAGATGACTATTAAAATGCAATTTATGGAATATTATTCTTATTCAATAGATTGGAATTTGCGTTGTGGAAATACCGATAACTTGCATTGACGAGTTACATAATGTGAAGTACTATATCGTAAGTAGTTCAATTTTAACATTTTCCAAACTACCAAAATGAAACTGATGCAAAATTGGAAAATCTTGTTGTAACATTGCAATTTGCATTCTGCAGTCATTGATATAACTTATGCTGGACGAACAATTCAAATGAATGAATGGGACATGTTAAAATTTAAAGTTTACCTTATAGTTTCCGCAATTTCGTGACCCCCATCAACCCGGTCCTGTAATGTCAAGAAGAGAACATTTTAAGACAATTGCTAGTCAACTCTACAATTAGTACTGAACTGAATTTATAAATCGTTATACAATTACACATTTAAAACACCAGACACAATAAGTATTAGTCATAAAATAAACTCTAATGAACTTTACTCGAAATAATGGTACTCCAAAATCTATACATTTCATTTACGATTAAGAATTGGTGCCATTGACTATAATTGCATTACAATTGCATCGTTCTAAAAAATACAAACATCTCATTGTGCATTCTTACAATCTGAATTAAAAACATTTAACTACACGCATTACTATTTTACTATTATTATTATTATTTTACCTTCCCACTTCCGACACTATTCAGAGGCCAAGTGTATATCATCGGTTCGACCCCTGCAGGGCTGTGTAGCTTTAATTCTAGCGCCATTTTCGACAAATTTCTCCTATATTCTTCGCTTATCCACATTCACAACAAACAACACTACAACACACTTGATAACCACACACTTTTTTAATCATCACGTTCAACCAAATCCATTCGTTCAGCTCTTTATCAACAAAATCAGCTTCCAACTATACCGACACTACTCCTCATCGGGTCGGGGGGTCAATTTCAAACCATTCTTGGGGGAAAAAGGACCTCTTTTTCCTTCATGTCGACGCCCTTGTCGTCGCCATCTTCACCATCCCCGTCGCCACCTCTCATCGTCGCCTCATCCTTGCGACGAGGAGGATTAAATTCGTTAACTTTCCTTCAGCGCCGTTTCTTCTTCGTCGTCGTCGCACCAAAGAATAATATAAATATCTCGGGCGCAATGTTATTGTTTACATCGTAATTTTTTGCGGAAAACTGGGCAGATTTGCCTACAAATTGGGTGCGGGGAGGGGGAGGAGGAGAGAAAAATGTGGTGAAAACGGAACAACAACAATTTTTGGGAGTTAAAAAAGTGGTGAATACTAATATCTCCGGAAACACTCCCAGAATTCACAAGTTAGTAGCAGACTCTCGCTCTCCATCCATCCTCCAACTAGAACTAACCGATGAGAGCCGCACGCCATTAAGTCCCATAACCTTTATACATACGAATTGTGCTACTCTCCTTGTGCTTGGATAATATGACTACCAGCAGCAGTGAAAAAGTAAGGAGGGAACACGACTTATAGGTATTCACACACAGGGGCATCGAAAGACGGGGTTAATTCACCAAAAAGAGACGAGACGGTCAGGGGAGGACGCGAAAATGGGAGAGGTTCATCTAAAGTTCGGGGTGAAAGTGGAGAAAGTCTGTAACTGGGCAATATGAGTCTGATGTAGCTTTGTAATGTAAGAAATGGAATTTCCATTAGAAATATTTAAAAAATATTTATTAGGTAGTTGAATTATCACAATTTATTTAATGAAATTCATTACCAATTTTAAGTTATCATTTTAAGATATAATTTTAAACTACTACTTTCAATTATAATTTTTAGCTAATGGCCTTTGCAAATTACAAATATATTTTTTACACTAATTTAAGTTTATTTTCAAAGAAGATGGAATTATTATTGAAATTTATTCTTAAAATTCATTAAAATAGCAGAAAATTGATATCTACAAATTTCACAGCTAATTAGAAATTAGCCAAAAATTATTCAAAACCTTAATATACAATCTGATGTAATTTTTATAATTAAGCATATCTAAAATTCTATTAAAGACGTCAAAGTGTAACAAAAAAAACATTCCAAAAATTCCTCTCAACTTTCACCTTTCCATCAATTCCCATTTACTCCTACATATAAAAATTGTTCCAAATTTTTTCAAAATTTCAAAATATGCGTAACCCAGACCGCCTCCCCTGATCGTGGGATTTGTTATTATAGCAAAAAATATAAACGCAGAGAGCTACTCACTTAAATTCACTATACTACTCTCATCTTCAGCATGTCCACGAGTTCATCGCTTTTTCCTCCCGTCTCTCCTGCTCAAAGGAATTGAATGCACTCTTCCCATCCGCTGGCAACCTCCCCTTCCATTCCACATTTTCATTCCACAGCCCAACCAACATGGAATTTTCCCCTGTTAAGAAGATCACAAAGTTGGGCCGAAACTAAAGCCGTCCTTTAACAGAAATGCGAGCTAACTTGGCATCCCTTTGTCTCCGTTTACCATTCTTCCCAACCGTGGGGACAACTTTGAGACGGAAATGGGCAAACTCGGCCCATTGGGCGTGGAGGGGAGGTGTCCCCAGTAATTACTTTGGCTTGGGGATGGGCTGACTTTTTTGATAAGGACGAGCCATGGTAATAAGGACACTGCCCTTTAGAGGGATGGCATGGCGGAGGGAGTTGGGACCAACTAGTTCCACAAAATTCTGTCGGGAGCGTTAAAAGTTCAAGAGTTGTGAGATTTTTGCTCGGATGAAGTACAGAGAGCGTGAATTGGCTGGGATGATTTTTGCGAGCAAAATATAGATGCGGAAAGAGGTGGAGAAATTGTAATTTTGGTTTATTTTAATGAAAATTTTAGCATGACTTTCACCAGTTTTGTTTAAAAGTTGAAGTATTTTGACGCCGATTTGAGAATTATGATTTTACGTGAATAAATAAAATACTAATTAAATAAAATCTACTTCTGTTAATATGTAAAATAATATTTTGGCTGTCAAACTTTGACAGTGACAAAACAAAGCTTTTACAAAACCGTAAACATTTTGTAATAAAATTGACCTTTTGCCAAATTTTATGTCCACACTATTTACTATTATTTATCCCGTTCTAATAACAAAATATGAACGACATAGGACGTTATGGATTGCCTCCTATTCGATTAAAATATAAGTAATATGAGTAATGTCAGATTTTAGTGGAATTTTTAGTGCACTTTAAAAATGAACGTCACAGCAAAATTTGTTTGTAAATAAGAACCATCAGTTAATATTTCACATTTTCAGAAACTCATTCTCTGGTCGGGGAAGAGTGTTATTTCATGTTCTGTCGTTTTCTCCTTGATGCGTCATAAATGAAGATTGAACATCATCCTCAAATTACACACACACGGCTACAAAGAGCAGAAAAGAGAGACACGAAATATGCACAGTTCAGTTGTTCGTGGTTTATTACGTCCATGGTGAAGTACTGTGAAAGGAGTGGTGAAAGTGCGAACCATAAATTTCAAATTTCAACTCTATTTCCATTTTATTCAACCCATAACAAACGCTGGATTATTTCTTTCTCATTTTTTATGTGTTCCCATAAATAGACTCCATTTAGCCTTTGACCTCTCTAAACTTATGTATAAATATACCCTTCCTGACACCCAACAAGATGCTCTCTCAATCCAAAATCGCAACAAAATCTACAAGTTTTACACGTCAACTTGACTGATCGAAACTACTCTAAATCATTTATTACCTTAAAGAAATAAAAACCTAAAGTTTTCCATCAAACTTTGTGGTCAGAGAGAGAGAGTTTTCAAATTCTATTGTCGAGTAAGGCCTACTGTTTTACCAGGAAGCTCTATTTAATGTCAAAGATGGAGGAGGAAGCTTTTCCCAATTTCCTTGATTGAAATCTCGCTTTCTCTCCTGGACAGTCAAAGTCCCCACTAAACAATTTATTACCACGACCAGCACCACCTAATAGCTTTGTTGAAAGTGTAACGGAATATATTTTTTTGTTGGAAAGTGTTACTTTTTTTTCTGGTTAAAATCCTGGAACCAAGATGACAATTACTTGTGTGTGTATGGAGGAGGATTATTTCGTACGCTGAGAAAAGTCCAGTTTGCTTAAGGAAAAGGGTACAACATTTAGGAAACAAGGGGACCATATTATTCTCGTAATCCCAAGAGGTCTCATTTTCTCATCCCACCACGACTACATACTTGCGAGTAACGATATGGTCGTGGAAGGAGAAAGTGGTGAAAGTTGTATCACACATCGTGAGGTTTTAAGCCCTCAAAGATAGATAAATAGATGGTTTGTTCCTTCTCGCAATTCCAATACGGAGAAAAAGAAGTTACAACAGCCGGATTAAGACCAGCATTTTGTTGTATTCTGTCTGAACTGGTTGAGATTTGTGTCTCGATTTTCCTTGAGGTGTTTATTGTACGTGAAGTGAATTAGGAACGGAGGTATAAATGTTGGACTAGAGATTGTAGAAAATGCAGATTATGTAGTATATTTTGGTCACTTACTTTCTCTAAGTTATCGTTCTGAGTTGTTTTTAACCTTATTACATTTCTAAAGGATGTAAATGTAAAACACTTTTTCAAAATATTTATGACTCATTAAGCAAAATTATGCAAGCTCATCAAAAAACTTGGCAGCGAAAACCTAAATTAAGCTGCATAATTCAGAACATTAAGTCTTACAGATCAGACTTTTACACAATATTTACAACCAATATACGTTTATTTATGTTATGCATATCTCTCTTGCACTAAAAATATTTGCAAATAATTTCTACCGTTGCTATTTTTCGCCATCTTTTTCTCCCATTTTCGCCTGACTGACCACGCCTGTCTCTCCGTGGTGGTCCAGGACGTGAGGATTTACCTTCATCCCCTCCATCCTCCAACCCCCACGCGTTCGACTGCATTTTTGGCCCACAAAGTACACATCGCCACTCACTTTCTCTCCATGAATCCACCAAGTCACTGAGCCGATGGAATAATAAAGATTAATGAAGATGCTGTACGGGGGCTAAATAGGAGAAAAATTCGGGTCGTGTTTTCATGTCGTCGTTCCACTCGAATCCTTTCTTCTCAGACTTTCTCCGTATATATCTTATTATTCCCCATGTGGTGGCACTTTCTTTTCACTTTTAACCCATACTTTCTCCTCGACTAAACCAACCACCAAAGTAACGTGACCACCCTGCCGTATAAAAAAAGTAATAGATTTCATCCTCCTCTCCTATCCCCCCGAAGAAAGTAAATGGATCAACATTATCCAACAAGGAGACGACGACCCACCACGATCCATTCCTTTACTTTACTTCTTTCTACTCATGTATAAATAATGAGGTATTCACGTCAGAATAAGCTGGTTGTCTTTATTAGCGTCATCAATATCTCAAGTGAAGTTCATCGTTTTGCCCGAGATGAAGATGAAAGACGGTTGTGGATGATGATGATGATCAAAAAGTGAGAGTTCTTTTCTGCTCAGCACAATTCACAATCATTTCTACATTCATCTTGTAAAAAAAAGAGTAGACCAGACTCGGCCAGATTTCAATAATGTCGTACGTAAGAAGAACGAGAGAGAAAAATTATTGGGCACATTTATCACGACGATCATATGAATATACAACTTTATTATAAAAAAACTGTATGTAGATAAATATTAAAAATCAAGGTGGGGTCAAATAACAATTTTTCTGAGTAATAATTTGTCCCTAAAATCTCAATTATCTATTCGAGATTTTTTATTCCTTTGTCTGCAGGGCAATAATAAAGTAATGTTGACAAACCGTGAAGCGTTTTCGCCATAAATGTGTCGACCCTGGTGTGTGGTCTGGTCCATTTTGGGTGTAAAAGTGCAATTCATATTGATCATCATGGATTGGATAAATTACAAACTAAAAGCTTTTACAGCCTTGTATTTCATTAAGTTTTAAAATGTACAAAAGTACAACACGATGTTCCCGGGTTCCTCAATAATGCAAATGCAATTACCAAAAAACAAACAAGCACTTCGAACCCGTAATTGGTCTCATCAGCGCAACAACACATTTTCCTTGTTATCAGACAAGTGCGAAAATAAATAGATTAACATTTTAAGAGACGGTAGCACTACTGACACAGTATCAAAAATACATGGCTATTCTGCTACTAAATACAATAGACCAAGTCACTTAACTTAACAATTGCAAACAATAACGTTGCCCACAATTTAGGTTAGTAATCTTATCCAATTTCGTCTTAATAACAAGAAAGCTCAGTCAATAATGAGGTGTTTTGTCTCTCTTGTCAGCTCTGTATATGGCATTTCTGAAAATGGCAAAGACATGTAAAATGCAATGCAATGGTGGTGTTGGTAATGTTTGCGCATTTTAATTTTTCTTCTGATCTTATCAAAACGTGGTATGTGACACAATCAAGCGAAAGAGGTTGATGATATAAATTTCTGTGATTAAGTGCCAATAATGATTGACCTATTACAGTTATCGATTTAATAAAATAAAATAATTATATTTTAAAAATTTTACCAAGCAATGTCTTAATTTACCGACATGCATGCGACTCATTGTATCATTCAGAAACGTGTACTTGCCAATCATAATGTTTAAAGGGAACGAAAATTGGCCATAAAATGGACAGCATAATAACAACAAGGCGACAATTATTTTATTCACGAATCGCATTTTTATTCAATTATGATAATTGTCCTCACTAATCATATAATCACTCTGAATTTACGAGTACTTTGCTAAACAGTGCTGTTTGAGGGTTAACAATTAACTGATGTGTAATAGATTTATTTAGGCGTAATAATGAAATGACAGCAAGTGAATATGTATGTACCTACATATAATATTCTAGTTATTAGTTAGTTGCCCCTTCTGGTCAAGTAGGTCTGTATCTGCCACTGTTTTTCAAGCTATAACCTGTATCTCACCATCATTTAGCATAACTTACGCCTTATTGTTGACCATCCTGGCTCCGCTTGATCAAAGGAAAGATAATTAGTCTCTCTGAAACAATGCGGTCTTGAAAAATATGTTAATTACATTCTGCCTTAATTAATTATTTGTGTTCGATTCATAATAATCACATCCAGATAAGTTGAAGCACCGGATTTTGAGACTAACATGACCCCCCAATTTCTGTCCTGCATTTTTGACATTCAACTCTTTCCCCTCGTCACGACGTTGCTCCCCAAATAATCAAACTCTAACATCAGCTTGAAATGATTACAATAACGAGTCAATGATGGTTTCAGTACAGAAATAATAATTAGTCGATCTAAAGACTTCTTGACATTGACAACAACCAGCTAAGGAGCAAATCTTGTTTAGTTCTTGAGACACTCCTCATCCTGTCGGAGAATGAGTATAAAATTTCATTCTAGTTGTGGCCAAGACGAAGCTCATCTCTGACACGATCCTCCTCCCATTCAATTAATAAATTAACTCCGTAAACTGGCTGTACACAGTTGAAATTATTTAAGCAGTAGTAGCTTTGGTGTGAGCAAATTGAACCTGTCACAATACGGAACTCCCCACCATCAGTTTTGTTACGTGAATTGAGTTTGTTTTCATTTCAATTAAACAATATTTTCAATTTTGCAAATGTTCAAAGTGAGAAATTCGTCAAATTATTTAGTACTTTCTCATTTTAGGATGTGCACAAGTTCGTTGTGAGCTGCTGATAATACGTCTCAGAGTGTAGCTCATATTAATTGACTAATCACCCAAAAAACATGAACTGTGTCGATTCCTGATGACAGCCAAGTTTCAACTCTTCACTTTTGTGGTGAGAAACTGACATCGAGGCATTTTCTGGAGAATTGTGATGTGGCGAATCTCCAGAGATCACTGGGAGCAGGAGCATCTCTGCAACTTTAACCCGTTCTTCGCCTTCCCACACCATTCCATTTGACTCGCTGCACGTTTTCCCCTTCAAGATGCTCACGATTGTTCTTTTCTGATTCAGTCCTTTCCGTGACTCTGTGTGACTCTGTCGATCTGCTTGTTTTCGCAGTGAGCCGTTCCATGTGAGACGTTTCTGCAGGGTCGTGTTCTAAATAAACGTGATAAGCACAAGTGATTCCAAAATATAAGAAGAGCAGGTTTCAGAAACATACGATTTTTTATTGGAAAATTTTATTCGAAAACATTAGAACTTCTTTATGAAATACTTTTTTGAAATACTCGTTTTTTGTGAGAAAATATGTGAAATCATTTTGCTCCACGATCAGAACCTTCTTATTAGTGCAACGTGATCAGTGCTAACGTTATCAAATTAATGAGTGGTTATCATACAAGGAATTGATGCCAAACAGAGGTTGTGAGGAACGTGATTACTGGTAAAACTTTGACATCTGCTTTGCTGGCATCGTACCTTAATTTAGATCGATTTTCAATGTAGTTTTATTTCAGGAAATTATAAAAATGTTATAAACTCGATCTATTTATTTAAGTTAGTCATATTTTAGCCAAATATTTTAGTCTGTAGATATTTATTTAGCATATAATATGGTGCCAGAACTGTTGAGTTTTTACTGGCTCTTTATAATAGTGACGATAGGGGTGATCATCCTCTTCATTCTGTGTCATTGTTTAAACTGTTATTAAAAGATGAAAGCATGCATCTTACTCTGAATTTAAAAAACCATCCTCATTTTTTAAAATTTCAACAAACTTTGCAAATAAAGCAATTATTATTCATGCACTTATTGTAATTCTGCCTCTTACCAAAGTTAGTTATCGGGTTACCTCTCCTGAATCTCAATCACTTATTATTCATTTTGATGCAATGTGTAACAACGGCAAGAGTCAGAGTCAGTCAATATACGAAACAAAAAACAACAATTGAACTGACATGATGTTGTTTGTCAATCAGTACATCGTTCCTTCGTTCGTAGTAATGTGAAGGTGGGCAAGAAACAATTACAGATATTTATTATTACTGACATTTGTATTCAGTTATGTTATCTCGTTCTCGAGTTGCACGACTGCATTTAAAATCGTGTATTTATCTACCAAGTCGTCCGTCCATCCCATTTTCTGCAGAATGCTGGTTTCAAATCGTAGTTTGATCCTTGTCATTTAAAATTTAGTCGTGAATACAATATTGATAGTTATTTGTATTTGCTAGGAATAAGTAATGATATGGGTCTTAATGATAACTCATAATACGGCGGAAATTGTATATAAATGCATGATTAAAAAAAAGATTTGTGTAGATTTAATACATTTAAAGGGTCAAAATGTTTAAATGTTTAAATGTTTAAGTTACAAATCTGTCAAACAAATTGCAACAACATTTCACAAGTTCATTCTGATTAAGTAATTCAACAGCAGCTTCATTCTCATAAATCACTTCATGTGAACAATCGTCTCACATGTGTCTCATTAAATTATATTTAAATCCTCACCACAATAAATAGACAATAATCGAATGAGCAGCAACATGCAAGAACCATCAGACTAACAACTATTTTAGCAAAAGGTGACTAAAAAAACTAGTCGTCTTGTCAGTCAACACTCAAGATTTACTGCACATCAGCAACCACCACTTACTACCTGCTGAGATGAATTGTGATGAATTGGACACATCCAGTCGTCTCAATTTTTTGCTGTCCTACTTCAAATTTAGTTTAGACAGTCGTTTTGGTACAAAGTGATATACTCGCTATATAAATTTTGGCAGATTGTCCCTGTCCTGTCCTCCAGTGTACGACGACTTAATCTCGCAAAAAGGAGTATTGATTTTGATTGGTTTGACACTGCCAATTTGTGCACACAATCAAGTCACAAGATTGAACTTAAGCAAGACAATAATGGGATTAAAATTAAATTAAAAGTTAACCAAATCCAATATAGAAGATGACTCGAGGGAATTTGAGATTCAGAGAATTGATCATTTCTTGCTTGGACGATGAGATGATGATGGATGACAATTTAAGGACTCGCCTATACATATGATTGATTAGCGACAGTGTCAACTGTATTAAAATTCATGCCTATATCTCACTCCTCACTAATTTAATTGGTAGACAATGCATTTTCAATCAAGAGTCAAGGACCAAGCTGTGAAGAAGGGGATGACATTATGGAGCAGCAGGACAAAGTGTGATTTTTGGATACCGCACATTTTCTTTAGCGTCACTACTTACTCTCAAGCAATTAAGAGAATCAATACGGCTGTCATCTTGTACTTCTTGCTAACGTAAACGTAACAGATGGTGGTTGAAATGGTAAAAATGACAAGTTGGAATTTATCGAGAGAGTGTGTGCACTACATGATATCTTTGTCTCACTTTACCTCATCACGTTATAAGTGCACGTTTGACTGACTAAATATTTCGTAAAGAAAGTACATCTTTGTAGTTGCACTTTTTTTGTGGGTGATACATTACTTATCTATGTGTAGTAGATAGAAATAGCAAAATATCTTTAAAATACGAAAGAAAAATGTGAAATTCACTAAGTGTCTGCCGCAAATACACCACCACTGCTTGTTTAAAATTTAAATTACTTCTTCGCACCGTACGATGAATCTCTTGTACTGTCATTAGCACGTAATTTTGACATAAGCACTAAATACTGTATGTTTGGCTTATATTATTATTATCTTGTATCGTCCTCTCTACAATAAGGTCGAATTTTATATCCATCACATCACCACCACCACTTACTTAATAATATAAGTTTCTTAATGCAAAATAATATTCTCTTCTGCGTTAAGTTAAAGAGATTACTTATGTACACGCCGTTGGGCTACATCTCTTTTCAAATTTATGATTATTGCCCTCTTAAACTCCCATTAAATCATTGGAAAAGATACGCCAGACAGGATTCGTCATCATTTAAAGTTAAAGAAGTTAAATTATGGGTGCACCCCTCCGGCACGAAGTACACATAAAGGAATCGTGTACATCAAATCTGTCTTAAAACGGTGCACCACAAGTTTTTAAATTGGGATGAATGGGCGTGTGTGAGAAACATCAAAATTACAATTTTCAAATAATATGGGTCTATTTGGTGGAATTATTGGCGAGTTGTGTGTACAAGTTTGTACAACTAGATGTACGTGAAATATTGCGGGTGATCTTCTTGGCACATGTGAGTTTGTCTTCTTGTTAAACCTGAGGAGAATTATTTATCGGGAATTATACCACAGAAGCTCGACATACATATTTTTTCAAAAAAGTTTTTTTTAATAGAAATTCTGTCATTTTTTCCGAACTAAAAAAATCTGAATTTCCAGTTGTTAGCATAACTTACGTATGTATGTACGTATAAAAACTGATGACATATCCAGAGAATGGGGGATACTTATCCCTTTGTCTTCCTCCCCCAGTAGCTGTCTTCCTCCTTTCATGCCTGGCAGTTAGATAATGATGGTTGTCATAAAATGCAAATTTCTCTATTTTATTCGTGATTGGATGTTCATCGTCCGAAAAATTGATGAGTTTGTGTGCGACTTGGTGGATGAGATGTGGGAAGAAGATGAGGATGATGGTAGCCAACTTACTACCAGTACCAGCACCAAAACAGGTCGGGCTCCTTAAGAGTAGTACGAATATAGAAAAGTCATTAATATGAAGGTTCATCTGCAGGCAGGGGAAGATTTGCTTTAGTTTCGTACAAGTTTGGATGGCTCAAATAATTTTATCGCTTCCCAACCTGTCTTCCTTCCCTCTCAAATCATCTTCGAAATGGAAATTCTTGTATGATTTCACTTTTAAAATTTAATTTCATTAATTTCATGCATCATTAACTATCAAGTAATTATATCTTTCCCGTTTTGGCATCAGAATTTCCTTCCACGTTCGATAATAATTCAGTTTTACTTGGCTCCTCTTTCACTAAATTTTAAATCGGAATTTCATGAATTTTATGAATTTAATTAAACGAAAATATACACTACGCGGATTGCCGTGATTTGCATAAATTCCCATGTTCGTCTCCCCTTTCGTTTCAATTTCTGTAAAATTCACTTCTAAAAAATTTAGAGTATCTTCCCTCCCTTTTCCTCCTTCTTCTTCAGAGGAAGAGATCATTGCCAATTCAAGAAACAACTCCTCATGTCGCTCTCCCGCTCGCACTACTTAAAGTTATTTCGTTATGAAATTTCCAACAATGTGAATTGAATGAGGATAAAGTCCGTGTCTTTCTGCTGCCTGTGGTTTTTGGGATGGAATGTCCCGACTGTAGTGGTGGTGGTGGTCCTAGAAACTGACTGAGTGACTGATAGCAAGCGTGCTGCATACCAAACGAAACATTTCCGGAGAAAGTCCAAAACTCAAAATGTTCATCTCCGGTTACAAATTGTGTAGTTCCCAAATTCTGCTCTGTAGTTTCATCCATGTCCAACTTACACCAACCAGTTTCAAGTCGTGGCAGAGTCAACTCTTGAAAATTGAATGTGGTCTTTCCACCAAAAGAGCAGATGGACACGGGGTTGGAGTGAAAGAGTGAAAGTTGAGACGAGGCTTAAGAAAAAAATGTACCACGAGCTTCGGAGACATTTATTAGACTGTTAACTGATGTATTTGTACAGCGAGACCCCATTTTCTACTAAAAGTTCTCTCATTTAAAACAATGCTACGCACTGAATGCTATATATATTTCAGCCATTTCGTATATGTTCATTATATATATGTTCCTACGGATTGATTGATTACGTACGTACTAGACATGTCGTAGAAGTAATGTTACGTAAGTGTGTACGCTGTTGCATGATGCGATTTCCATGATGCACTTTTTGCAATGATTGTGCAATCCGTCAAAGAAGAAAGAGTGATTATTTATTATGTGTGTACGCTTTGACAAAATGAGAGCATTTGGAATGATTAAGCACTACAGGATGTTTACAGATTTTGTGGAAAGACAATTACATGTATTACTTTTGAACGCGTAATCCAATTTGCACCAAATTTGGCACACGCAATCTCGAAGGTCACGACCACACCTGCCCAAAGTTTCAAATTTCTATCTTCAAAGATGGCCCCCAAAAGTTACCCCAAAGTGGACGAACCGTAAAAGCGGTTTCCGAAGCTAATTTGGCCGCGAAAAGTGCCCAAACGATAATCCAAAAATTTGGAACCCATCTTATCGTGTCCCCCACATATAATTCTATCAATTTTGTAAGAAAACGACAGTAACTAGTTTCATCCCACCAACGTATGCGACGAAATGCATACCCCTCACAACGATGAATTCTGCCACCCTGAAGAACATTGATCGCCACGATGGCAATCAGAATCCTGCAACCAAAAGACAGGTCACAATGCAATCCCAGGTGTCTCCTAGACACGTTAATCGTATTTTATAGCACGATTTTAAAAAAGCTTTGCAGAGGAAGGCGAAAGTCCGCGCACTTAAATTTACCCATATGGTAAACAAAAAAACTAACAGCCGGAGGCTGTTTGAAGGTCATGTTGGGAATAAAAATTCCGAATTTGTCGTCACATTGGACGGGACACTCTGCTGCCTTCAAAACTTCAACAGGATAAAAATAATTTGCTGCAAAACCGACCGAAAGCAGATTTCAAAGCATGGGTCTGAAAAGAAGGAAAAGTTGTCTGACTGATTCCTGGTGGCAGGTGCAATGACGGACCGTGGAGTGCGAACATTGATACCTGTTGGGTCTAATGCAAAAATAAACTTGAAGTACTTTATGGACAGTGTTTTACATAAGTTGTTGGAGGTCAAAATTGCAAAGAAGCAATTTGGGGAGCCTGACAAGATTTGCATCCATCACGACACGACATTTTCATATACGACCGTATTTACCCAACCGGACGCCCAAGATTTAAAGGCAAACCCCGGAATGACCTCGATATCTTTTTCGGGGGTACACATTAAGTAACCTGACACCAGTCCAATGGAATTTTTTGGGTTTGGATGCTTAGAACAACGCTTTTTCAATGGAAGAGATAAAAAATGTCTGTTGTTTGGAAACCCCTTTCACGGTCACTTTTTGCGCTCATTTTTGAAGATAGAAATTTGAAACTTGGTACATGTGTGACCGTGATCTTGGGGATTGCGTGTTCGAAATTTGGCGCCAAAACGGATAAAGGGTTCGCAGTTTACCCATAAAATTGTCTTTCCACAAAATCTGTAAACACCCTCTGTATATTTACTAGATTCTTAAGTAAAATGTACTCACTGCAGTGAATAATAAACTGTTAATCTCATTTATTTGTGAAATTTTCACTCACAGATGAAAAAAAACATGATTGAGGATGTCATTTCCCGTATTTTTTCGTCTTCTTCACCACCACGTCGTAGGAAAATATGAAGGGATGCACCGGAACGGGAAGATGATGGTAATATTGTCGCATTGATCACGACATTTACTTTACTGCTCATCCGCCCCAAACTGGATAAGGAAGGAACCTCGTAAAACACAAGGAGATCATAATTCTGTCGTCGTCGTTTGTAAGAACAAGCAAAAATTAGGGACATACATGTGAGATCTACTTATTTAATTTTTATCCTTTTCGTAACCCAGATTAAGACGTTGGTACTGAATCTCAACCCGGAATTGAAAAAAATGGGTTTCTTATCCATCTTCTCGATAACCCCGCTCAACACTGTCGTCACCTACTTTTCCCTCTTTCTTCTCCTCAATATATCCATCGTCAGCATGTACGAGCCTGGTAAGAAAATCGGTGTCAATTCATTTCCTCGATATCCATCTCTCGCTTTCAATATTATCTCAAAGTGCGAAATTGTGCACACAGCGTAGGAAAAAAACCTAGCACAACTTATTTCTTTATGGCTGCGAGGAGAATTGCAAAGAAAATCATTTAAACCTCCTCCGGGGAGTCTTTTATTTTTATTTGTACTGATTTAATGATATTGACTCTGCTTGGGCATGAAAACATGAAAGCTGATGCATATATGTATAAAATCTACGGTGTGAGGTGTTGATTTAGCCCTAGTCAGGGTCAGAATAGGATCCTGAATTTTTTTCACATGATCCAACTACTACCAAATTTTGGTACAAAATTCATGTTATCGGTACAATTTACCATGTTCTGAAATAATATTTGTAACCTTCATTCGTGATCCATTAGAACTTTTTAACGAATGACCCAATTTGTTTTTTTATGTATCGCATTGTACAAAACTAACTGATTTTGCTCATCTTCGAACATAATTTGCCCCATACTATAATATGCACCAAATTTGATGTCAATTGGATAAGCCTATAACAAGAGTTATCGCAGACGGGACAGACGGACATGACGGTTCCATAAGCCTGACTCGGGCTAAAAAAGTAAAATACCGTTCAATACAGGAACCAATCTCTGCACAAAATACACATACATTACACGGTCGTACCGTATCTTGGTTGAAATCAGACCGTGTGTGCTGTAGTAGGAGAGGCGTCGTGACACTCCTCAGAGGAAAAGGAGGAGAGATTTTTTCCAACTTTTTAAATAGCTTATTATTATATCCGAACTTCAAGGAGTGTTTGACACTGGAGAGAAGAGAGAAGCGGTAATGGTATTCCTCCCACAAAAGGAAATAGAGTTTGAAATCAATTAGGAGGAAAGTTTGCTTGGTTTTAGTTTCGTGGAGGGAAGGAAGTTTGTGAAAGAGGGAGATTGAGATTTTGAGATTTATCGAGACAAATTGGCTTTGGATGAGTGAAAGGTAACAGATGCGAGGATCACTAATAATGGTTGTGTGATGGTGTACATAAGTAAACTTGTGTAAGCAGTGGTAAAAGGCGTGCCTGAAAGATAGGTGTGTGTTATGATTTTTTGGGGATAAAATCTTCATAAGTTATGCATAGTAATTGCAGGAAAATATTTTAAAAATTTAGGTTAAACAGGCCGGATTTTATAATAATTACAAAGTTTTGAACTTGCGATGATTTCCACTAAATGCAATTTGGTACTTATTATTTATGTACATATTAGTCCTATTACATATTAGTGATTTAATTCAACTATGGAGTCAATACCTCAATGAATTCATGTTCCCACTAACACTAGATATCAGTAAATGTAAATTGTAGTATGTAGGAAAATATGATCAAGAACCAGTTAAAGATCAGGATGCATATTTGACACATCTTTTCAATTACTTTACATGTCTTTGTTTCCATTTCTGAATGATTAAACGTGTATATTTCTTGCTCTGTAACGGTGTCAATATAAAACTTTTCATGCTCAACCCACCTTCATTCGAAAGAAGCAGATTACATTTTTTTAATCGCTGCATTTTTAAATTTTCACCAAATTAAAGATTGTAATGGACGAAACGTGAACGGATTACAAATTATTACGTGAAAATAATTAACTAAACTACATTACACTTCAGACTGTATGATGGCTTCATTTTATCTCGTAGGCCATATTAAATTCTGTCATGTCTGGATTATTAATCGTCTCCAAAAACTTATTTAAAACTTTTATACCTTAAACTTTTCGGAAATTGGTAAAATATTTGACATCTTTCCTTCTTTATATGCTTCCTGGAGTCGTTTGTCTTCCGTATAAACTTTGCATTTACTCGGTCTGTTGGATATCTAGTCCCTAGCACTTTGTGTGCATGGATGAGTCGCATAAACTCTCGAGACACCCACACTCCCACATGCAAGCACTTGTTGGACATTTCCACATCCATTATAAATCTCATAGCAGCAGCACATTTCGCATTTTCAAATACTTTTAAGGACGAAACCCATTCAACCCGACGTTCAAAAAGGTACTTTATGACGATGACAAACAATACAAGACAAATTATTAGGAGGAGAGACGTTTGTATAATTAATGTGCATGGCAGTAGAAAGAAACTGATTTGACATGGCATCATCTTCGCACTTTGTGACATCACTTACTTGGTATTCTTATTCCTTTTACCACTTGCAGCCAACAGCCATTCATTCACAATGAACACGACTTATTTAGCAGTATTAATGGCACGACGGATAATTTTATGTTAACTCAAGTTCAAGACGGACAAAAAAACTGTGAAATTTTATAAACATAATGCTTTATTTACTCTGCTTGTCCACAAACTTTGAAGAAAATACGACCCCTTTTTTAAAAAAATTGTCCTGACACGGCATCCTCCACCAGCTTTTTGTCCCCGTCTCTCCCAATTCCGCATTTCTAATTGAAATGAATCCAACTTAATGGACGTGGTGGTGCATGTTGAGAGCGAATCGTGGACGAGGATTAGTCGCAAGGTTAATTTAACCTGAATGGGGAAACGTCTTCGTTAATGGGAGTCTATTGTGTCCGTGGGCTATCAAAACAACATGCACTGGACGAGAGCATGGCGGTGAAAGTTGTTCTCTCAGAGTGAAAGTAGAGTGGGATGCAAATTCAAATAAACGAGATGGAGGAGAGGAACATCATTATCATTAGTTCGCGTAGTCGTAGAGTAATTCAAGTCCAATAAAAAGCGACGAGTTGATGTTGTCTACGTACATATTTTAGTACGTGGACTGGAAAATCGTTGAGAGGAAAGAGAGAAAAATAAAGTAAACTGCTAATACGCACCCGTAATGACTTTGTCCATGCAATCTGTAGAGTCAAGAAGGACGCAGGGTGAAATTTGTCAGAGGAAAAAGGCACCACGCCACATTAAGCAATAATTTATAGTAAATGCATTCATGCCACTAGTTCATGGAGTGTAAAATTGTCATAAAGCGTTTTGCATTTGTGAGAGGAAATTATACCATTTAAGGTTATGACTTCTAGTTGGAATGTATGTATGGGGCAAAATGTTACGCAATTTGCAACTTTTCTGGCAAAATTTTCTGCAAGATTGATTCGCATATGAGTTATCATTTTACCAAAGTATGTAATTGATTGACATTTCACTTCATTTTCGTTGCGTGAGAGAGAGTTCTAAATATACCGGTCCGTTATAAGCTATGGTTTTGCTTCCAAATAAAAAAATAAGTAACAGACGTACACGAATGTGCTCTCAATTTTTCTCATTGTTGATCCTTGGACAGGTTGTTCGAAGCCCTTGGGACTGATGACTGATTTGATAGAAGACTGGCAATTGTCCGCCAGCTCGGTGAGCGATGAACCCTCTTGCCAAGTAAAGTACGCAAGGTTGCATCAACCGGGAAGGTATGGATTGAAACTTTGAAGCACGATTTATTTCTCCAATGGTCAGTATTACAAAAAATTACGTCATGTTTTTAGTCGGGCTTGGTGTGCCAAAAACTCAGGTCAAGGAGAAAGTCATTGGATTCTGATAGGTATGTAAACTACGTAACAAAAAATTATAGTCATCGCATCATTCTGAATTTAAAAACTGCACAGATCTCGGTGTGACCACGGTTGTGTCGGGATTACTTCTTCAAGGTCGTGGCGACGAGGCCGAGTGGGTTACAAGTAAGTGATATTCGTATATATTTATCCCCTTGCCTAAATAACGTATGTATAAAACCGTCAAAACTAGCGACATTTTAAAATCCCTTTAAAATCTCAGGTTTCTCTCTGGCGACAAGTCAGGACGCGTACAAGTGGGATTTCGTGCATGATGTTTACGGCAAGAAAAAGGTAATTTATGACAAATTGTGTGATTCTTCAACACTTGAGAAATCATGGAACGCAACTCTAACTAAGTATGTGGTGACACCGTATAAATATTGGTATTTGGCAGGGATACATAGTAATGTCTCAAATTCCCCGTAAAGCTTATTTAGAAAGAAATACTTAAGTTTCTTGATTTACTGTTCGAGTGTTATTTGACATTTATGGGGATCAATATTAAAGATGGAGTCGTGCATTTTGCGTAGTTTTGAAACTGATGATGTGGGTTATTTATGTAGTGTGCTTGTCTATTTAACACGGGTTGCATGCAAGGCTGTCTTCAACAAATCTGGGCAACATTCTTTCTCCAACTATATTTTCTGCATGGTTTTGATTTGACAGAATAATAAGATATTCAAGTGTAGTTCCAACTTTCTGTTATCGTGTACAAAATAAATTGTCAAAATATCAAAGAATTTCTCTCTCGGAAGGATGAACTTGTTTTTAAGGTTGTTATATAACTCAGCCGACATTTAAACACATAGACCAGCCAAGTTCTCTTTTACGATGAACAAAAAGCACAAGTACAAAAATATGCAACGCACGGAATCACTTATGCACATCTTATTTTTATTATCATAAAGTCAAAAATGTATAAAAGAACTAAACGAAATCTTGCTGAACTTTGTATTCTTCTTGTTTCCAAAAAAAAAAAAAAAACAGACCTTTCGTAGCAACACTAATTCCCATCACATTCGAAGGTAAGTAAACCATACATCTTTTTATTATTACATTATTGCTGGCCGGACGTCTTGGGTCCTAGATACACATCAACTAAAAATTTTTTCATCAGATACCCATGTATAATGCCCCATGACTTTTCATTTACAAAACTCGAATTGGTTTGCCTATTTATACAAAGAGGATGAGACTGTGCAGTGAATTCTTTGGGATTTATGCAATTTGGCATGTGTAAAAGAGATGCTATAAGGGCACACATGTGGAGGTGGAACTCCCACTTGTACCGCTCCTCTTTACGAACAACTCCAATTGGTACAATCTTGTAATCAGGGTGGGTGGAGGGCTTCTTATTTTTGTATTCGATTACAGGGTCAGTAGGGTTGGCACTACTGCCATGAACTGCTTGACTGAGAGCTTGTCCGGCATAAATTATGTAGGGATTTGAGACAAAGTATAGCGCAGCAACCTTCACTGTCGTTTCCGTTTTTCCTCTTGATAACAGCGCCCCAATCCTCTCACCCGTGTTTGCTTGTAAGAGAAATGGAATTTGTTCATCCTCCTTCAGATTAATTGCTGCTGCTGCAGCTTCGGAAAGTTTGTCATGGATCTTTAATTCCAAGCCGTACAGATCCATTTCCTCCACCAAATACTTGTAAGCACCATTCGGAAAGTTAATTCCCACATTTAGGCAGATTATTTTGATGGTAGTATCGGGATACAAGAGCATTTGTAAGAGGGTCGTGGTCTAAAAAGTATTGATTAAGTAAATCATTATCTAAGTGAAAATTACATACTTTGCAGCATTATTTTTATTATTAATATTACCTGTCGTGCTGCGTAAACTTTCATGAGTTCATCTTCATCCTCAAAGTAACGGCGACGACCCTCGAGCTCTAGTAATTTTGGAGTTGGTCTGCCGGCGGCTTCACACTCTTTGGAGTATAATTTCCACGGCAGATGTGATTTGTTTACATGATGATCCATGATTGTCTGCGTTGCGTTAAATTCTTTATCTTTAACATCCCCATCAACATATGTAAACGAGACAATGACATGGAGGATGACGTTGTTCTTCTTATTGGCTCCATCCGTGAATTGAGCCAGCACAAAACCAATTGTCGGACCTTTGTGAATGTGACACTTCGGGGCCGGTTGCACATGAGTGGACCTTGTTCTTACACAATCTGGAAACACGTCGTATTAGAAAACAGGTCGAATAACAAATCATCATTTGTTTAAAAAACAACTTACTCGGAACCCCAGAACAAATAAAATTGTACTTTGAATTTGTGGGTACAAGAACGAATAACCCATACGATCGGTTTGCATTTGGTTGTGAGAAAGCTACCCTTGAAGTTGTCCCCGGAACCATAAGTCCTGCTTCTCCAGCTTGCCGTACCTTGGTCTCTGCAATCAATCTCTCTTCAGCAGTGAGGGGGGAATATATTCCCTTAATTATTTCAGGGGTCAGAGGGGTGAGATTAGAAGTTGTGGATTGTTGCGATCCCATTTCTTGGTCTTCTTCGACCTCTCGTGCCAATGTGCAGTAAAACTGTCGCAGTTTATTATCACTCTCATCTAAAAATTAACAACAAACCATGACATAAATAATGGTCGTAATAATATGGAATACAACTAAATTTGTTTACCCTCAGATGTATTTGACATCCTCTTACTCGTGTTCAGGGCTTTCGTCATTTTCCACCACACAGTTCCATTTTTTTCTCTCGGACATCAATCTTCCGATTCACATAAAGACGTTCGGGGGGACTGGTGGGTGGCTCCCTCGTATACTTCGAACCACCTTGCACCATTCGCCACTCTTGCTTCGTCTCCGGTTCGTCCCCACCATCGTCATCCGAATTAAATTTGAGAAATCTAGCGAAATTATGGATAAAAAATCATCTCATATTGTTAACTTGATTTCCATTAATAGAAAAATTACTTAAAACTCGTCGATATTTCCTCCTCTTCTTCATCGTCATCCTCTCATTCATCGTCGTCATCCTTCTTCTTCTTGGGCACCTTTGCTTTGTTGGTAGTGGGGGTGGTTGCCTTCCGTTTCGAAGAAGATGATGGCACGGGTGGTTTCTGACTATTTGGAAAGTGGTGAGGGTTGACGTAGTCGTCATCGTCCGAATAGTCACTCATGATGTACCTACATTACAATTCAAGGGTAATTAATTTAAAGTTTATGTGAAAGTCATATGAGAACAGACAAACTAAACAAACATCAATAATATTTTCTATGCATGATAAGTACTTACGGTTAATTAATAATTAGCTGGCCACAATTGAAAAAAAACACTGAACCGTATGCGAGGGATGACGATTGTCTTTCTCTTTTCAAATTTGCCCATTCGGAATGAGGGAAACTGAAAAATGCACCCGTCCGATATGAGTTTTGTCACGGATTATCAGATTATATAGAATATGTTTATAAAATTTAAAATCTATTTAACCTATCCCAGCATTTGGCTCGACACACCCGTCACGACCAGATTTGTACGGATTCATGTCTTGGAATGTAAGAAAGCAACCCAATCAGAAAAAAATGTCGTGCGAATTCTAACTTTTCTTTTCCAGGGCATACAAATCCGTCGCTACGTCTGGAAATTCTCGGCTGTCAAGGTAAGAAGATACGTGCATATCTTGGCTTATTACACCCTGATTCTTACACCACCACCACTTTTGTCCCGTCATGAATGACTCGTATACGCAAATAAGTAATGTGTTGTGCGAATGACAAGGATAAGCTACTGACATTTTTGTAACACGCACGCATAAATTACTAGAACAAAGTGACTGAATAATCCATACCGCATTTATCATCAACATTGATATCTTTGATAAACAAATTCATTTTCTTTCCCGTCAAAGTATGTATAACGATCGGCAAATGTTGTCTTCCGTTACAAACACACTTTCTTATGTCGTCCACAAAGGAGAAGGAGGCGACGAGAGACTTGAAAGTTTTAGGACAAGCAAATGCAAAAGAAAAGCTAAAGCCGATTTGGTCTGACGAGGAGTGTGGCATGAAATACGAGATTATGGGATTTTCGTCTCTTTCTCTGTAAGTAAATTGGGACGAGACAAACTCTACGAGTTCATTATTAATGCTATCGCATAAAATGGTTGCTGTTCGGCTGCTTCTTCTTAAGAAGAAGTTGAAAGACACCCTTTCCTTTTCCCATGCACTGAAAGAGCTGACTGCGGAGGAGTATCGTCATCCCAGAGAAAAAAATGGGCCCGAAACAATCCCCGATATTGAAAATTTAATAAATGACATCACTTCGTGAAAGAGACGATTACGTGGGGTCTGTTGATTCGCTAAATTTGTCATGTTAATGAGAATCTGCATGGATGCAGGGGGTTGGTGGCCCACTTTATACGCGAGTCGTTGTGCAGTCTGGAAAATCTCTTTATGCAAATTAATGACGGCCTGTCTCCCCCTAAAGAATTGAGAATATATGTGTGTATACTTCGAATAAGCTGTGTACATACATAACTTTTGGGGAAATTGTGTCTTCGCAACGCGGCTCTGGATTAGCAAAGTGGTGTTGGTGGGTTTATTTTTATTTTTATTAACAAACTCGTGGAAGTAGTGAATGGGGTATGGATAAGTATAACACTTGCCAAATATTACTCAATTAGGTGTCATATTGACTGGCTGCCTTCAAAATAGATTGAATTATGTTCGGCTGGGTGACGTGCCACTAATAAGTAATTATTACACGCAGAATGTAATGCAATTTTAAGCGGACCTGGAATTGGATCGGGTTTAACAGCCTCCACATTTGCGCCGTGGGTAAAGAAAAACTCGTGTCAGCCGGAAGATGGTCACATTGATTCACACCGAGCTTGGTGAGTATGTAGTCGAGCAATTTGGCCAGTTTTTATGCAGAATTTTACTTATCATCCTCCTCCAGCTTATCTACGGGGATGGTTATGACTTCGATTTATACACATTTTGAACCCAAATCGGTATTTCCAATGCCCTATCGGAAAAGCCAAACTTTTTTGAAACATTTTAACTCGACTAAAGTTTCCCCATTTTCTGAATTACAGGTGTTCCAGGCATAATAATGGTAAGCACGTACTTTCACTTGCTACACATATGCATGCATATTCTTCTCGAGGACCACCATTAAGTGCTCATTATGGAAATATAGACACGAAATCAAGTCATCTAACTAAAAAAAGACGACACAATCTAATCTCCAACTTTTCCCCATGCTTCTCATTTCCTGCCCTAAATTAAATCAGTGTACTTTCCCCACTCGAATTTGAATTCATAGCATCGTTTAAAGAAAAATGCAATTGAGTGGAAATGGAATTCTTCTCTTACACCCGATTCCTAGCTAAATAAATCTGATCCTAGAAAATCCTTAAAATTGCCAAAAAGTCGATTCCCCCTTCTTACCGACTCCATTATTACTGTCATTAGTGGGATGGGAGTACATACGTGGATGGAGGAGGACAAGATGGATTTTTTTCTATCCTTATGTTTAATTTAATGATATCCTTCTCCAAATTTAGAGGGAAAATTCTAAAAGAATTTCTTCTTTGTTAGCCCATCAGTGGTTACAATTTGAACTGGGAGCACCAACCACAGTCACCGGACTGGTAACGAAAGGCCGAGGAGATACAGGTTTGTTTTTATTTTTTTACAAAAAAAATCTGTTTTTTCGACCCCCTCACAATAAAAATATGCTACTCGACACTAATAAAAATTGACATTAGGACGCCGCCAGTGGGTCACATCGTATTCGCTCTCCTTCTCTAATGACTCTGCGCTGTGGTACTACTACAAAGAAACGAACCATCTAATTCCAAAGGTGCTTAGGTCCTCGTTATTGCTTTCTCCATCACCCATCACCCCACGCTTGCAGATTATGAAGAATGACACCCATAAATATTTTATTACTCTTTCTTTGTACGTGTATGTGTCGTCGTTAGATTTTCGGTGGCAATATGGACAAAAACACGGAGAGAAAGCACTACTTTAATTCCCCCTTTGTCGCCCGATTTATACGGATTCATCCCAAGGTGACGAGTGAAAGTTGATGTATTTTTGTGTGGTAATTTCTGTTATGGTTAATTTGTGTATACATATTTGCAGCAATGGCACAATCACATCTCTCTCCGGGCAGCCGTTCTGGGTTGTCCGTCAAGATTGTGTCCGCCAAACTTTTTTCGGCTCAATATGTATGCTCCGTGCGGTATGTGTTCCAATATTTTCCAATCAGTGGGACAAATGTTGTCTCATTTCATCAATGTGATGATGACCAAAGTCAGCATCTGGCTCAACTTTCACTCTAAATAATGTCCAATCTTTTCGCTTTCTTTATTCCTGCAAGTCGAAAACTTGGCATACAAGAAGGACGTTTGGTCCAATGACAAAAGACATTTTTGGAAGGTATTACCTATCATTTGTGTTCTAATTCATAATGCCAAGAACAGGATTGCGCTACTTTCACCCTGTGTAAATATGTAGGACTGGAAGTATGGCCATGCATCACTCGGGGTGGATGGCGAAGATGACGTATTGCTTCCGAAATGTGGTAAGTTACTGGGTGGTCCAAAAAATGCGGAAAAGAAAGGGAGTATGGAATCATAGTCTTATTAAAATCTTCTGTGTAGCCATAATGGACAACTATTATGCCGAACATCCCATCTGGATGGTTGATCTCGGAGAGAAAACGCAAGTTTCCGGTGTGGTTGTCCTCACTTGGCAGGGTGATGGGCAAGGTGAGAGATATTGGAAAAAATTGTGATTTTTAACGAAAAATTTAGAGAGTTTTTTATGCTTGAAGATATGAAATTCTTGTATAAATTGCTACATTTTTTCGAAAGATTGATAGATTTTTGGTGCAAAAAATGCGACATTTTGATCTAAAAATTGTAATTTTTTTAACAGACAAAGCGACCAGTTATCGGGACTATGTTCTAAATTTGGACCGTCTCACGGTCTATGTGAGCAATAAACCTCGCCTGGATTCTCCCGACGTTGAAAAGGAGCCGAAATGCGGAACGGTTTCCAGAGTCAATAATGCCCTCTTCCATCCCAAATTGGGATTCGAATGTCCCCAGTCTGAAAATGTGGGGGGGATTCGTGGCAGATATGTTTACATTCAATCTACACCCGTCATAAATCGGTGGGGAAGACTGTTCAACACGATCCTGTGCGAAGTGTATGTTTACTAGTGGAGAAAGTGCGTGGTGAAAGGAGTGATTGAAATTTTGTGGTTGGAGAAAGTCTGATAAATGTGTGAATTTTATGTCAACTTTACTCGTTTTCAGAGTGGAAATTCTTGAACTTTATACACTATCACTTTTTATTTATGTTTGCCGTAAACTCTTTCTCAATTAAAGTGAGAAAACAGGCTTATAAACTTCAGAGTTTCAAATGTTATTATTATTCGGATATTGATGGAAAACCCATGAAAAATGTGGTTGTATATACGATTGTGTTCAATGGTTATTACTACAGATAGCGAGTCATGGTAAATACATAAATGATGGAGTACTCAGTTATGCAACGTTTTTATTTTTGTATGTGCAACTATTTCCAGCTTATAGAATGGTCTTGTTATGTACGTGGGTATGTAGATGAGAAAGGATGATATTCGCGACAAAGTCATATTATACGTAATTGCAAAAATCGTAGAAAATGGTTGGGTAATTAGTTTTACAGAAGCGTACTAAATATCTATATGTTATTGGTATTTGTTTGTTTACTGATTTTGTTTCAAATATAAGCTTGGATTTAGCAGCTCACATTAACAAATAAGATAAACCAGTCATTTTCTCCATATATTTGTTAGAAATCTAAGAATTTTTAGATTTTAAAGAGTGCAATCGCAAAAATATTAATAAAAAGAAATTAATAAAAACAGGAATTTAATAAAATTGCAAAGTTTTGACGCCATTTTTTATCTATTTGTCTGTAACGATTGTTTTTTGGATTAAGTAATGCTAATTAAATGGAAACCTTCGCCCATAAGTAGTCGTCAAAACTCTGTCAAAATATTTTCTTTCCTCAGCATCTTTAGTACATAAAAAAATTATATCAAAATAATTTATTTTTCCCCGTATTACAGGGCAAGCTACTTCTAACGTCACATACCACAGTTTATTGTGTCTAAAATTGCATACACTTTTACGACCTTTATCTAATCTCAAAATTGCATCTTCTTTTACTTTGCCAAATCAATTTCAGAGATACAACATATTGAATTTTTGTAATAGAGCTGATATCATTGATATATCAAGCTGCAAAAATGAGCACAAATGTGGCCACGGAGGTCATGAGTACTACTAAATACATAGGGCGAAGGGCATATAAATCTGAGAGTAGCAAGTGGTGAAGCTTTCCTCCTTATTGGCCGTAACACTTCACGGCCAATAAGATAAGGTTTTAAACAAATCACTATTTGTTAAAGAGAAAGTCCTAACTTTCACCAATTTCGATGCAGGGGCGTTTTGGGAATGTGAGACGGAGCGGTGGTCGTGGTAGTTGCTCAACTTTTCACAATTCTCTTGTTTTGGCTCAACTCGCTCAAATTTTAGAAAGATATCTTCTTATCTTACTTTACTAATTTAATTAATTCCCACCTGATTAATCAGGATGAACGCGCTTATTGCTGTTAGGACTTTGGTGAGTATAACTAATTTTTTTGTGTTCTAGAATAAAAGTCAATGTTGAATTAGAAAAAGTATTTCAATCTGAATTTCAGATTCTGAAATTATTGTTCAGTAATTTACTGTTTTCATTTATAATCTAATTAAATGGGTAATATTGTCATATGTCAATTAATGTTCATCGTATACTATGAATTTGCTTAATCGATAAAAAGGAATTATTTTTAATAAATAATGTCAAAATTTTCCAAAATTTAATTTGGAATAATTGCGTTGTTTTTGTTAACAGAGAACGGCCATTAATAGTGGATCAGTGCCTTGGAGTAGGTCGTACGCCTCATCGTCCAAGGTGACACAGTCAAAGGGAACGGGAAGTGGGAGTGGTGGTGGAAGTGTTCCCAGTGTTCCCAGTGTTCCTGAACCACCCAGTAACGTCTTCAAGCAAACCAGTGCCAAAGGTGATTACAAAATATACAGTAATATTTTGTAATCAAATTTTATGAATACAAAATGATTAGCTAACTCAAGTAAAATACTTATTAAATTATCATATGCAGATCTTGGACCGGGTGCATCAAAAGAGGGCCAGTATAAAAATCCCGAATATTTTCAATACCACAAAATGTCGTTTGCCGAAATGGAGGTGAGAATAAGATTTTTCTGTTGTGGTTTTAAATAAATTAAATAATATATCACTTAATTTTCAAATCTATTTAGATTGTGATGGCGAAAATGCGTGTTCCTCAACCTTCTGCAAAGAAAACTGGGCAGTAGTAGTGAAAGTATCTGCACGAATCAAATTAAGCTATCCACGTCGAAGAATGGAAGCAATATTATAATTAAATTTTAGTTGAAAATGTTACACGGATTGTACATAGTGAAAGAAACTAGTCTATAAAGAATCGATCGTCCATGATCGCTATCAACTAAAATTATTATTCTTCATGTTAAAATGTATTGGCATATTTGATCGATTATCGAACAAACGGAACGCACATGACATACCCAACTGTGGTACCATCGCTCATCTCATAATTATTGGCTCGCCACAATGGCTTGACAACAAAATTATGCCAAAACTATTCATATTCTCGTTGCAAATTCTAAGTTAAATGAATGCATTGACCACCCACCAAAGTCACTCGTAACATTACTAGAAAGTGGCCCTATATTTGTGCAACTATTTTGCAAAATGTTTGCCCACCTACACCCAAAGTATGTCTTTGGTCTGTCTGCCACGTGCAAATCCAACAATGTCTGGTTCACTGACAACAATACAATCATGTACCCTGCTGGAAACGCTGTCGTGATGCTCAACCTGGACCAGAAGTCTCAAACCTTCCTTCATGGCGTAGAGAAACAAAAGAGCACAACATGTCTTGCAGTCTCGCACAATCGGTACAATCTCAACTTTCTTGGTAACTTATCCATAATCTATATTACCATTTTTAGCATGTACGCTGCACTTGGTCATACCGGGGATGGCGAAGGATCTATCGCCGTTTTCGACCTAAAGTCCAACAAACGAGCCAAAACGTTAGTCTCGACCGACTACAAAGTCACCGAGTACGTGTCCCTCTGCTTCACAGCGGACAACCTTCACGTTATCGGCCTCACCGCGGCGCCCGACTTTACATGCGTGTTATGGAAATGGGACAGATCCCGGGTTGTCGCAATGGTAAAAGCGACCGGAGGACTAGGACCGGTGTATGAGGTGAGTAGTGAAAGACTTTCACTGAAAGTCAGAGAGAGAGATCAGAGGAAGTCCGACTTACAAATAAAGGGTGGCATTGAACTACTATCGTGTGAAAGTGGAGGTTGAGATGAAAGAGAAGAAGAACACTTTCCCAATTTTAATTATTCAATGAGACTGAGACTCGTTAAATTTTAATCACTTTCATCTCTGACGCAAAATGTATTATTCATTCTCCTTCTGGAAACACAAAGTTGTCAAATGTTTGTCAAAGTCGGTCGCCTATAAATAAACGGGGGCAGAAATCATAGCCAAAATTAATCTCTTTATTTATTTTCCCTGCCTTTTTCAGGTCTCCACATCTCCAATGGACTCCAACCTGATCTGTACCGCTGGGAAGGACTGCTTTAAATTTTACCGTTTTAATGAAAACCATCTCAAACAATTTGGTTTCCAACGGGCCGACGAGATTCACTTTCTCTCCTGCGCGTGGTACAAGTCAGACAAAATGATTGCCGGGACAGCCGATGGGAAGTTGATGCTCTTTGAACGGGGCGAGTATCGACATGACATTGCCATAAAAAATGTCAAGAATGAAATCACCGGAGCTTTGGCGGAGAAGGCGAGACTCCGTCAGAAGGATGAAACCATGAGAAAGTCGAATGCAGCGATTGAAACGTTAGGAGGAGGGCCACCCCCACCGGCGAGTCAAACTGACGTCACAATGATCCATGTTGCCTCATCTGTTCAGCAATTGCAGGTCGATCAGGATGTGGACCGACCCACGTCAAAATTTATGGGAGATGAGATCACCTCCATTGCAACATATTCGAAAGGGTTCGCAGCCGCGTATGGGGTCGGGAATGTGGTAATTTTCGAGGAGCAATTGGTTTACACTGGACCGGACGATCATTACAAGCAAATGTATCTCATCCGGATTCCACATTCCACTTCGGAGAGTGAAGATCGCATCATTAAGACGCTTGCGATAAGTCCGAATGAAGAACTACTGCTAGCTTCGACTTACAATTGTAACATTTACAGCTTTCAGTTAAGCAGTGTGGAGATTAAGGTGGGCAGATGGTTAAAGCCGTTAGCACTTTCATACTATGCATAAGTATTTTCCTGATTGACTTTTACACAGGAACCAGATGAAATGGTGTTTGAATTTGCAAATTGTTCTTACCACTTCGGTCCCATCCTTTCACTCGATGTCGCCATCAGAAAATCCCTCCTCGTGACTTGTGGTGCGGATAAGTTTATTCGTGTATGGAATTTTCTTGCCATGACGCAAGAAGCCCAAGCCGAGTTTGCCGAGGAGATTTATTGCGTCACTATCCATCCTATGGGTATAAATGCATGGGCCGATTTTTAATGACAATTTTAAACAATGGCCCACTCATTAATTATAGCATTACGTATAATTAATATGTATTTAGGCCTTTTCGTACTGGCCGGGATGGTGGACAAGATTCGAATGTACACAATTTTGATGAACGATATCCGCGAGTTGAGAGAGTGGCCGGTGAGGTCATGTCGGGAGCTCAAGTTCAGTAATGGAGGTCACTACTTTGCTGCGGCGAATGGCAACATTTTACAATTATATTCTACAACCACGCTGGAGAATGTCGCAAATATGAAAGGGCACAGTAACAAGGTTGGGAAATTGTAGACTTTGTTTAACTATTGATGATTTAAAATACTAATTATACTAAATATTCAGATCCGAAAAATTTACTGGACCTTGGACGACAATAAAGTCATAACTGCTGGGGGTGATGGTGCCATTTACGAGTGGGATGTGCAGACGGGAAAGAGAACGGCAGATCTTGTAAAGCGAGAATCAAAGCTGGCGTCTGTCGTGGCGACGCCAGATGCGAAAATTTATTTTGCAATTAATTCAACGCACATTAAAGAGATTCAGATTCAGGAGGGAACGGTATGTACATTCTGTCAATATACAAAGCTGTTTGTTTGACTGACATAATTTTGTGTCTAGATTTTACAAGAAATCGAGCTCGGCTTGACCCCGACCTGTTTGGCGTTGAGTAGATCTGGAAAAATTTTGCTTGCCGCATTTGACAATGGAACAATTCGAGCATTTAAGCAACCTCTGACCTACTCCAATGAGTGGACTGACTATCATTTACACAGTGCTTCAGTCAACGGCGTAATGATACTGCTACTCAAATCAACTTTTATCATAGATTGTAATGTCATATTTAATCGCAGTTATTGTGCACATATGACGAAATATACTGCATCAGCGTCTCCTCCGATAATACAATCATCTTTTGGAAAATGACCGATGCCGATGGACGGGTTGCCAAATTGGAAAAAGATTTGTGTTATGCAACAGAAGTTTTGGTCACAAAGTAAAACTTTTCGATACACTATTACATAATTCTTGATGCAGTCCGTCATGTTAATCTATCTTAATTAGAAATGACCTCGAAGAGCGACAAGTCGCCATCAACGAATTAAAGCAGAAATACGCCGAACTCAAGATTGAAATGGATTACGCCCTCAAACGAAAAGACATCACTTATCAGGAAGAGATTCGCGACGTGAATAATAAATTTGTTGCCGACATTGACCAACTTAAGACACGGATTGAAGAATTGGAAAAACTCAAGGACAAAAATGCCGACGAGTACAACGCATACTTGCTCGAAGTCAAAAAACACCATCAGTCGTCCCTCAGCAATATGGAAGCCCACTTCAATACAAAACTCATCTCGGAGTTTGAAAAGTACAATGCGTTGCAAAACCTTCTAGAGGAAACTATCAAAGAATATGAAGGGTAAACAAACTTGTAAAAGTTGGCTGCCTTTTTGTGGTTCATAAATCATGACAACGTTTATACTTGTTTAGTCGACTAGTTACACTGGAGGAAGACAAAGGAAAAGCGATTGAGGAACTGGTCGACTATTTTGATTCGAAGATTAAAGATAAGAATGGTGCTTTGGAGCAGGTAAAAATGACTACAATATGATTCGATATCCATATGAATGAATCTAAACGCCGAATCTTGTAATTAGGCATTCAATGAGGCCCGAGTCCAAATGAGTGAAAGTGAAGAAATGAAGCGACAAATTGAGGAGGACGCGGATCAAGAGATTTTGGAAATGACGACGTCCTATGAGAGAAAGCTGGGTCATGAGAGAGAAATGAACGCCAAACTGAAGGAGAAGGCGGGCATGATGACAAATAAGTTTCAAACTATGCAGAAGGAGATTGAAGAGAGGATGAATGAGGTGATTGGGATACAAGATTTTGTAATTATAAATTTGAAACAAAATTAAAATTTCTTGACTTGACAGGTCCAACGCCTCCACTCAGAGTGCTCCAAACTGGTAAATACAATCAAGAGTACGGAACGAGAAGTCGTCCAGTTACAGAAGCAATTAGTGGATAGCGGTGTGTCGAATGTTCAAAAGGTGTGAATATCCATTTAATATAAATATCTGGTATCTCATTTTTGTAAAAAGTATGTATTATTGCTTCGATTTATTTAGGAGAAAACTATCGCCGAACTGCAAAAGAGTAATAGTGACCTTGACAAATTCAAGTTCGTTTTGGAACACAAGATTAAAGAGTTAAAGAAAAATATTGAGCCCAAAGAGAGAGAAATTGTGTACTTGAAGCAGCAAAATACCGATGTGAGTCCGATTTAACATTAGGAAATATTGAGTGAGACGATAATTGCGTAATTATATTCAGATGGAGAACGAACTCGACGCCACAATCGCGGTCCGCTCCGGACTTCAACTTCAAGTCAGTGAATTGCAAAACAAGCTCAAAATGACGGACCACGAGTACAATACGGAGAAAAGGATGCGAGTTCGACTGCAAGTTTTGCTCGAAAGGATTCGTGGTCATATGACGCGATGCATGAGCGTCCTTCAGGATCACAAACATCTCAAGTATACGGTCAAGGTCGGTGGCTAACTAATTACTCAATTTACTGAACATGACCAAATTTATCTGCACAATTAAGTTACATGCGCCCATAAATTATCCTAGGCTATGTATCAAAAGTATGGGGAAGGAATCCAAGCCGGAAAAGCTACGTCGGCAGAACAGGAAGCAATTTGTGAATTAGTCCGACAGAAACATCACTTGGAAATCTCACTGACTTCTATTAAGCGAAAGTTGTCGAAGGATGCCCAATTTACGAGGACTGAGCAGCTGAAAATTATGCATGCAAGTTATTCATAAATTTTATACAAGTAAATTAAAAAGTTACGAAGCTTTGTTCTGCAGGAGAATATGATGCTCGTCTACGAAATCAACAATCTTAGAGCTGAACTGAAAAGGACTCGGGACAAAGTGGCGTCATACGAGACCGCTCTTGGATTTAATGCTTCACATGCCACAGAAGCGGCTGAAATGCGCCTTGTGAGTGGATATAATCTAATGACAGCAAAACTGTTTAATTTGATAATTTTATCACATATGAATGAATACAAGGTTTTCGTACTTGGGGTGCGGGGATTAATTAGATGATAATATCTGTATTAAGATTAATCCCCGAGCAACCCCCCAAATCTAAAAACCTTGGAATGAATATGATACTCCTTCTAATATATGTACATATACATCCTCATAATTATTAACCCACAGAAACTTCAGCACGCTATTGAGGATCGAGACGAGATTGATATTCAACATGACAATGTTGTGGAGGTGAGATAAATACAAAGAAAATATTGATCTGTCACCAGATGCTAATCACTCAACAATTATTTGCTAAAAATTAGATTAAAAACGCTTTGATTGAATCTCAACAAGAAGAAATAGACACACTGTCTACCAAAATTCTCAAAGTTCATGAATTCGTCCACGACACAGCTCGACCCGAGGGGGCCATGGGGAATGCAGCAATAGAGCACATCCGATCGGTTTTGAGCACTGGCAACAACACCAATTTACAGAGTTGAGCTCGCTATCTTACAATGCGATGGTGTGAAGTGTAACCCTCCGATTTGGCTGAAATTTTGAAATTAGGTGGTCTAAGTCAGTACAACTAACGTTTCTTCAGCCAGTTTGTGCGATGGTTGGAGTTACTCAAAATATTTGAGGTCAAAGTTGAAAAAACGGCTGACTTTTTTCAGGTGGAGTGAGAAAACTCCACTTCCATTCTCTCCTCCTCGCATTGATTCTCACTCCGAAAAATAATTCATTTCATCAATTTTAAATTTAATTTATTATAGAAAAACATTAATTATTCATTGCACATGGGTCTTGGTCTTTGTTTTCAAATGATTTGAAAAACAAAATAACCAACGGTTTCGAAATGGAAAGTAAGTTAGGTTTTTCCATGTTTATTTGCCGTTAATGAATTTATATTTAAATTAATGTTTGTATGAATGTTTAATGCAAAGAAGTAAAAATCTCACTTATTCAATTATGAATTAAATTAAGCGAGCATGAGGCGTGTTAATTCCTATTTAAGTAATGTTTTATTTTGGTTATTTTGCATCACTGCTTATGCTTGTTTATGAAGGCGTATGTGTGAGAAACTGAATAAAATCAATGCGAGGGGAAGAGAATGGAAGTGGAGTTTTCTCACTCCGCCTGAAAAAAGTCGGCCGTTTTTTCAACTTTGACCTCAAATATTTTGAGTAACTCCAACCATAGCACAAACTGGCTGAAGAAACGTTGGTTGTATTGACTTGGACCACCTAATTTCAAAATTTCAGCCAAATCGGAGGGTTACACTTCACACCATCGCATTGTTAGTAAATTACGCAATGATTCGAATTAAGAACTAAAAATAAAGTGAATTCCATCTTTTGTCATGTATATTTTTTTATAATCCTTCCTTGTATGGGTTTACATCGGATTTTTAATGAGCAAATTTATGTGAAACTATGGCATGTGTACTATCTAACTTTAATAGTAGATGTTAAGTAACAGTAGATGACATAATTTTGTGATAATTTTTTGCAATCAATATTTCGCCTACATATATAATATCGTAAAAGAATAGAAACAGTTTGTGAACTAAATGGTGTTTTTTGAACGTATTAACTACGTGTGTAGACAAATAAAATATATAATTGAGTCTCTGAATTTGTAATTTGCAGTAATTAAGTAGACTGGTATGGAAAATTTCATAGAATAAGAGTTTAATCTAAATGACGAATGGAATGATTGACTTGCGACCACGAGGATACTTTGCAAATTCCTTCTTGTAGTTGCGATGTTTCCCGAGAGCCCATACAGTCATCTGATACATTCCGGCAATGGTGAAGAGTCCGGCTGTAATTTAATTACAATTAGTTTGCATATCTTAATTGGCAAAAATAGTATATATGTTAATCATCTTCTTACCTGGAAGGCATTGCGTCATAACTATAAGAGAAACATGGGTTAATGAACTCATTTTGTTCGTTATTATATATTTCCAAATATTAAAAACATTCACTAACCTGTGAAACTGAGCCAAGCATAAAATTCGTACGTGTAGTTGGGACATGACACATATTTGAACAAAGCCGTGAAGGGATTTGAAGTCGGATATGGGATCCGTCTCTCGGTTGTTCCAGGAGGTCGCAGATTTCGGAGAGCAACGTGAATGCTCAGATTTCCAAGTTCCGATAACTATTTAAACGAAATTAATTAACAACTATATTCAATTTTAGAGAATAAATGGTAAACTTTGCAGGAATAAATCTTACCACGAATAAAGCTGCACCTACGTAGACTTGAATATCATAGCTGGGTGCGGTGTACAAGGGGTGATTGACGTGATAAGCCACATAGGCAGCAAATCCCCAGTAGTATCCACAATTTTTGAACAAGTTCATGATAGGCATGGTTGCGTGCGAGAATCGATGCACAAAAATGGTTTCCAACAGCCTTTTTGCATAATGAAATCCCCAACATGCAGCAGCAATACTGAAATACAACGACAATAGTTTTTAACTATGTTAACTTAAAACATTTCAATTTGAAGTAGAAAAACATACTGAACAACTTGAGCGTATGGCTTTGATGCGGCCTTGTCGCCATAAAAGATCCAAGGTCGGGTGTAAATCCACATGTAGATTGCAAGTGGGCCTGCGTATTCTGACAGAAAAACGGTTATCCAGCCAATTTGAGGTCCCAGGTCCTATTTTGAATTAAAGCACATCATATATAAATCCATATAGGTAATTAACTATTCATGAACTGCAATATGTTTAATGAAAATTCACCTTCAAGAAGAGCTTTCCTCCGCTCTTGATACCCAGGTCGGCCAGGGTAGATTTGTCGTCCAATGCCTTCCCTTTGGCTTCAAGTCGAAGCCTAAAAAAAGTAAAGTTTGTTTGTTAGATTGTTTCTTAAAAATTGTTATTGTTCTTAAAATTGTTAAAATATAAATTTACATTTGTCGACCAGGATAAGGTCCTTTTTTCGCCTGATGAATCTTTCCCTTAACATCGCCGACAGTAGATGACGCATAAACCTGAATACATTCATAGTTAAGTAATTATCCAATAGTCATGAACTCATAAAATAAAATTCACTTACCGGCAATTTGGTTATTACCCTTCCACTTGCGCTGCAAATTTCAATCTGCAATGCATGAAAGTATTACATAAATTTTTAATGCTTTATTATTTCACACAGGAATACTCCAAACATTTATCGTCAGACATGCATACATCAGCCAAATCTACCCATCTCACTTAGGGCACAAGGTCAAGGTTAAATCCTGCAAACTATTTAACTAACTGCCGGTATAAAAGTTAAACATAGAACAAGGTATTTACAGCTCACATCTAGGGAACATATCGAATGTATATATTTTTATAAGTTTTCGAAGAATTTGGAATTACAATTTAACCAACAATTAACCTTTTCCCCCATTTATACAAAAATTTGAAAGAAAACTAACAAAAAATGTAGAAAAATTTAAATCAAATGAACCAAATTTGCTTACTTCCATCGTACCACCTTCTTCCAAAATTTTTCTCAATTAAGTACAATTAACTCTTTTTGGGAAAATCCACACTACTATTTAATTTGTGGAAATTTTGCAAAAATCGGACCACGTCGGCAGCTGATGAGAGTCAAGTGAAGTGCAGATGAAAAGTAGGCTGGCTTTTTAGCATTTGCCCTCTCGGACTCTCCTGAGGAGAGTCTCCTCACTCCACCAAAACCATTACTCGAACACCACAACACAATAATTTTAGAACCTGTTTTATTTCTTGGCATTTAATGTCTTCTCTCATCACATCTATTTATTTGCATCTACTGAATATGTGAACATATATACCAGGAGAAGGCTGATGTATGATATTCATATTGCAATATATATTATTGTGCGTGCAAAGTTAGAAATTCTCACGCAAAACCAAATCCAGCGTAAAATTTCGTTGAAATGAGTGAAATTTCGTTTTGCATAGCACAATTATAATTGGTTTGCATTAAACATTTGAAAATGGAACACAATTTAGTACATGCATTGCATGTGAACGCACTTTATTATGGAAACTGCAATACATATAAATGAAGATGATTAATTGTGGATTGAAGGTCCTTCCGCTTCGCCCCTCGTCGAATTTTCGGTCGAATTTTTTCAGCACCTCATAGAGTTTTAAATGGCTATCCTTTCCTTTACAGTTGATAAAGTTCTATTTGGATCTTAGACTTAACGAATTAAATATCTACTAGAACTTTATTCAACGCGAATATGCTGCAATTTTGCATGCGAATGAATAAAGTCGTCCAAAATGATTTCCTCCTGCATTTTATCTGAATAAAAAATAAATTAATGTATACAGTGACACGTAATATGTAATATTGAGGAATTACATATCATTCTTTTTCAATCAAGATTCTTTTTCATCGATTCAATCAAGATGGCTTGATAATTTGTTTTATTTTGGTTTTCATATCACTATATAAAGTTCACTAAAAATCCTTTTGATTTACTTATAAAGTCAAAATATAAATACACCATGAATAATAATTCCTCCGCCTTATGAAATGATTTCCCTTGAATTAGGTTATTGACCCATTCCGCATCGTCCCCAGAAACAATACCTGAATCTGCATCATTCTGTATAAAAACTGAATGACTACTCACCGCAGATAGATAATAGATTGAAAACGTTCATTAATTGCAATATTATTCAAATTTGTCACGCGTTTTATACAACAGCAGCTTGAATTATTAAGCGGATTCATAATATAATAATGGCAATAACATATTTATTTAGATCGGAACAATCGACAATCTCCAGTAATGAGATACGTTCTCTGACCCCGATGACACATTGTTCCAGGCCGATTGCTAATTAAATTCCCAATATATAAACGATTTCATCACCTACTCCGGCCTCCATTGACACCGCAAAGAGCTACCAGACTTCAGCATCTAAAATCGCCAACAACAATGAACTCGAAACAAATTGTCATCCTGACATTGGCCATTGGCTGTGTCGCCGTTGTAAGTGCATATCTAGATTTACTAACCGAGGTCACAATTACCCCCAAGTATTATCTTTCCTGTTTAGGTCAATGCAGGCTACCGTCAAACGTATGGCCGTGCCGTCGACGCTAGACAACTAAACCCGGAAGCCCCAGTGACTGAAGGGGTGCGTAATAACTTCATCTCTATTCTTACCCGGGTAGCCAATGCTTCCGAAATTGCGGGGACCAACGTCTCTCGAGCTGCCGCTCTTCTTGTTCGTGGCGTCGTAAGGGAAGGATTCAATCTGGGATCTGTCGGTGAGTTATCTTTCTCTGCTGCCGGCTAAGTTTCATCTGAAAATTTACTAATTTCTTTATAATATTGCTCTTGTTCTTTGTCGCAGCCACTTATCTGCCTCGTCTCCTCTTCTTGGACGGACCCAACCAGTTCATCGAAACCCTCCGTCTCATCCGATCCAACCAACTTCGTCTTCCAAACGACATGGATTCTGCCATTGACACCCTGATCACTTTCACCGGGTCAGTCCGTGATTCTGGAATTACTGGAAATTTCTCCCCCGTTGTGGAATTTTTCCCCAATATATTTACTGGAGTAGAGAAATTCGTCCAGGACTTGTTATACAACGTTTTCTCTTGGTTGGCCCCCATCCCCCCAGGTGCTGATTATTTTAAGTCATCTAAGATTTTTGAGATTTTGGTAGTAAATTAATTTTTAATTTTTCATATTTTCAGCTGCTTCACTGGATCAAGCCATCAAAGGTCAAGCAGTCCGAATCGTACCAACCACATTTGCACCAGTTTAAGAAATCAATTTGAGAGGAGGAATAATTTGTGTGCTAAATTATTATGATGAGTTAAATTATTTTTATGGGCTTGAGTGAGGAATAAATTCAAAATTCTAAATCTAGTGGTACTTGGATAGTCATTAATTTCAGAGACTATTTCGAATACAAAACAATTGGAAAATGGATTTTTCATATCGCTTTGAGCAGATCTTGAATCGTAATAGAAGTTTTTATCTTCATATGTCATACAAGTTTACAATCTCGAATCATGTAACCTTTTTTAAACAAATTCTCAAATTAAGCGAAGCTTTTTTCTGAGTTTCTAATATTTTTACTAAAAATATAATTTTATTTTGCTGCAAGTTAAATCAGATTTTACCAGCTATTTTTCATATTGCATGTTCTTTCCATGATTCATGGAACATGAACTTTGCATGCAACGCAATATAATAGATTGAATTGCATGCATTTTGCCCAAGCTAATTTTCGCAATAGTTCTAGAGGGGGCATTCCAGATATATTCCTTCCCTCTTGGGAACTCGATACTCAATATTCCATACACCACTACACCAAATGACATAATGCAAATGCAATGAAACAAAGTTCGGGAAAGATCTAGAAATGCGTTTTCAGAGCTCTTGCTAACAAGGGGCAGAACAAGGGGCAGAACAATTGCGATTTTTTTAGAAGATTCTCCACCACCTCAAATTGCGTCAATCACGTCCCAGCTACGCCACCAAACTCTTCTTTGGTGTGGTGACATTCATCAACTTTGTGGGTTGATAAGCACTTATCAAAATGATAAGACATAAGGTTTGACTTGATTTATTAAAGTAGACATACTTTGACGTCAATCATGAACTTTCCAGAAAATCGAGTTTTGTAAAATGTCCAAAGCGAAACATGAGACGTGAGGAAAGGAGCGAATCGAGTTCAGTAATAGAACTGACGTTACACATGATGGTCTGGTTTTGAGAAATAATCAAAATACATATAAAGTTAATAATCATTAATCATAATACATCAGGAAGGTGAGAATAATAAAGATTGATTAGCAAAATTTTATTAAAACTGGGCGCACGGAGGATATAGCTGACCAGTTGCAAATTTGTGGTTAAGCCGTTCACAACACAGAGAATCCAATTTTGAGTGTTAGAAATTCTTCATTTTTTGCAAAAGAAGAGTAAACATTTTAGTTTGGTTTGTTTACTAAATTTTGGATTTAAAAATTTACTACGGTTCACGAGTTAAACACTTTCGTAGTGTCACTGACTATATAACGACAGAGATATATATCTGTGATTTAATAAGATATTTTTCCTTCGTTCAGCTGTTTTGCTGAGTAATTATTATTCAAAATTGGGAAAATGGGGAAAGATTATTATAAAATTTTAGGGATTAATAAATCCGCGACGGACGATGAGATTAAGAAAGCATATAGAAAATTGGCTCTCAAGTACCACCCAGATAAGAACAAGGCTCCCTCGGCTGAAGAACAGTTCAAATTGGTTGCAGAGGCATACGAAGTTTTAAGTGATAAGAAGAAACGTGAAATTTATGACCAGTATGGCGAAGAGGGGTTGAAAGGATCATCGGGTGGGGGTGGTGGGGGCAACCATCAGAATCACGGTGGTCATCAAAACTTTACGTATTCGTATCATGGAGATCCGAGAGCTACGTTTGCTCAATTTTTCGGGTAAATATTTGACATTTTTCCAGTTCTACGATTTATGATAATTACAAATTAGTTAATATTGATGACTTTTCTTGTCCCTCTTCCAGAACGTCGGACCCTTTCGCCAGCTTTTTCCAAATGGGAGGTCTTGGTGGTGGTATTTTCGACGATGATGGTCACGAAGATAATTCTTTCATCAATTTCGGAATGCCTGGGGGACGAAGAACTCAAAGCTTTAACATTCATGGGACACCGAGCAAGAGTAGGGAATTTCAGCAGCAAGACTCCGCCGTGGAACATGACCTTTACGTCTCTCTTGAAGACATTGACAAGGGATGTACAAAAAAGATGAAGATCTCTCGAAATGTGATCGTCTCTGATGGCACGAGAAAGAAGGAGGATAAGGTGTTAACCATTGTTGTAAAAGCGGGGTGGAAGGCGGGGACGAAGATTACCTTTCCACGCGAGGGGGATCAAACCACGGGGAAAATCCCTGCCGACATCGTCTTCATCATCAGAGATAAGCCACATCCTACGTTCAAGAGGGAGAATTGCGATATTAGATATACGGCTAAAGTTGCGCTGCGTGATGTAAGTTTGATTTCTTCATTTTTTATATTCATATGTACATACATACAAAAATTTCCAAGTTGCATAAGCGAAGGTCATCTAGTTTAAAGATTTGTGATGGTGGTGTGGTCATATTCATTAGAATTCGCTAAATTTAGGCAGAGATTAGGATTAAACTTGGTTATCAATTTGATCTCCATTATTTTCGAGAAGTTTGTCCAATCACGCGACCAATTACGATATTACATATCACCATTTCTTAGTGACATCTGTCCCGAGATAACAATAGTTTTTACGACGAATAAGCAATTTTTTATGTCTTCATCTTCATCATCACGAGCATCTTTTGTTTTCTGAGAGTCTGAAATTTTCACCAAGAAGATTGAATCAACAGCAGAGGAGTCAGAATCAGAAAGAATCTCTTGGTCATCTTCTCACTTGTTCACTATTCACTTTGCCAAGTGCAGTAAGCAAAGTAATGGAAATGTTGTGTAGGTTTTAAGTGTGGGTGGCATAACTGTCAGTGACTAATTATGGCAGTGTATTTTATATTGTGCAAAATATTTTCCATTCCCTGCATACATACGTCCTGATCCTGATTCATTTTAAGTAGTAGCATGGCACGAAAATGCATGATCAGATTTTTGAACCTTTGCTGACCGTAATGAGGAAAAAGGTGTGTGATCATGATTCTGATTGTTGGGACATTGACTTTTTCCTCGTTCGTCGTAGTTCAGCGTCTTAAAATGTTGCGAAATACGATTCTTATTGCTCATCACAAAAAATAACATCAGGATCGTCGATTTCTTAACGTACTTGCACACATGCATTGTCATAAACCGGGTACTACATATAATGGCATAAACAGATCTTTGTTATTTAGGGAGTAGTGGTCAAAACAAGGTCTTTGTATTTTGTTATTCTTTTTTTTATTTTGTCCATATGTATCATTTATCTGTATTTCAAGGTTATATTATACATACATATTTCGATTCCGTTTTATATTCCATGTCCTCGTAAAATAATACCAATTGCGTGCGTGCTCAATCGATATCAACATAATCGATCACAAGTTCCAGTTCCAACTCATCATCACAAGAAAGTGTTAAAGTTTTCCCATTTGTTTTGATTACGTGGCCAACGAAGAAATTGAACTTGGTTAAATAAGTGGTATCTGCGAAACTAAACTTTTTCCTCGAGTAGTCGATATGTCACGTCATGTAGCGAAATCCATGATTTGCATAAGAGAAGAAGAATATTGATGTTTTCCGTGGTGTCAAGTCAAGAAATGGACATGAGTCCAATACGGCCTTCACTTGCTATAATTGTGCATGAGCAAATATATGGCAATGTCTCCTTTCCTTAAATGAATATGATAGGGGTCAAGTGCTAACTTTAAAGAATATTGTTCTCGCATCAACGTCAACCAGCAATAATAATAATATTTTAGCATTATGCATTGTTTGTCTTTTGAGTCTGCCCTGCATTTCATGCTAATTTGGTTTCATAGTCTACAAGTTCATGTTGTCAGACATGTCTTCTTATTACAATTCAGCAAAAACTGATGGTGGAGGCCCTCCTATCATCTCTAATATTTTGATTTGAATGCACTTTCTTGATAATAATAACCTCGCTAATTTGCTCGTTTAGTCTTATCTCGTCCCTCCTGTCATATTTTGAGATGTCTTTGACAGCGATAGAAGATCTTGACGATAGATGATTTTGTTGACGAGTCTGATTAAAATAGAAAACGCGTTAGTTATACACATAAGCATAGCATGATTCACATATTGTGATGTCAAATGAATCAATTAATAATTCGCATTCTAAATATTATCATCATCGATACCGACGTGCTGGGTTTTATTGCAAGTATGACGATGATGCTCATTTCCGGGCATTGTGGATGACAAAGAAAATTGGCCTAAAAATTAACTCATGGTCTACGTACATATATTTGGAATTTAGTCCGTTCAATGGGAAACAAGACGTCAAGGAATTATTATCATGATTCATACGAGTAAAAGCTCATATTTTGCGAATAGTACAATCTTGCTGACTAAATACATTCGTACATTAGACATTGTTTTAGCATATTTCATACAATATATTCTACACATTTACCAATTTCGCTAATCGCTTGCTTTTGTTCTCCATAAACGTGTTGTCAATTTGGCTGCATGGTTGATATGTTGAGACACATTTGGGTTATCCTGATCTCCTTAACACCCCGTAATATATTCTTCTTCTATCGGGTTAGTTTTGTAGTTATGTAGCTTAAGCCGTGCATATTTTGAGCTTAAAAATGATGTCAGCGGAGGAGGATCCCAATACTTGTTTGAATAGTAGACGGATCTTTTTAGGAATTATAAATAACATGCGACACACATTCACAAACTGCTAGGATCGAGTAAAAGTGAGCAGTATAAGAAGACGTATGTAGGTATGTACGTAACTGGAAGCCAAGCCAAAATTTTTCCTACAAGCTGCATATTCATCTTGCATTAGTAGTTCTAGTTTATAAACTTTTTCCGCAAATGATGAGAGCGTATCGAGTTCAAACATGGTTTCAAAGTCGTTGATAAATGGTTGGGTTAAAAAATGCAGCATGATATCTGTGATGGTAGACTTGTTATGAGGTTGAGGTTATCTGTGTTAAATTTGCAGCAAAACCGATTTTTGATTTCGGTTTCAAATCCATTCAGATTGAGGTTGAATGGCTGGTTATTTGCTGTTATTATTATTATGTTGTCTTATTTGTTTTGTTTGATGCCTGCAACGTGCATACATAATAGCATGAAACGGCATAACCCACATTATAGGATTGATACGATGACAACAATATTGAAAGATGCACCACATCCCCGACCGAGTTACATGGTTTGGCGGACTGATAAATGAAACCCAACATGTCTAATTCAATGATATTGCAAAATTTTATATCCAGAATGTCATTTAGTGTTTATTCTTGAGCACTTTGCACCATATTTTTTTTACTACCCACCGACCGACCAAGAAGGGAGAGATCAGTCAGGCGAAGGAACAGTATGAATTTTCATGACCGTTAATCTGTCAAGTTGAACAATTTATCATCCCATTAAACTCGAAACCGAAATAGAGCTTCAAGATTTTTGGATCTGTTGTGGGCGTATTTCATTTCTAAGTGGTGCATAGAAGTAAGATGCACAAAATCATATCTACATGCATGCATGTATAGCAATAAAATTACCATACTTGTACTTCCTACTACTAGAAAAATTTAATTAAAATGATGATAAAATACTAAGATATCAAATTGATGAGTTTGCTTCTTACTTTCCGATTGAGTGACTACAACACCACCACAGGCATGATAAAAATTTTGGAAACCAAACCCTAATAAGACTTCCATCACATTAGTGGAAGCTGATAATTTTTATCAAGTTGACCTTTGATTTTGTCACCAGTAATATAAATGATACGGATGCAGTGTCAATTGTCACCAAATCGCACATCTCCTTATAAAGACGTAAAGTAATCAATCCTTCTGCTCCTTCTCGCTTGCAGGCTTTATGCGGAACAATCGTGGAAGTACCTACCTTGGGAGGCCAGCCCCTTCAGCTGAACATGCTAAGTCGCGTCATCAAGCCCTCGACCGTGGAGAAGATTCCAGGCAAGGGGGTAAGTTCAATCAATGAATATTAAAAGTAACGTTATCAATAAAGAATCATGCAAGAAAATCATGTTTATAATTATATTTCAGCTACCCTATCCCAAGGAACCTAGTCGCAAAGGTGACCTCCTCGTCTCCTTCGATATCATCTTCCCCGAGAAACTCCCCACCGAAACGAAGGATCTCTTACGGGATATTTTACCTGCCAAGTAATAATTATGCCGTAATTATTCTTTAAGGAGTTAGAAATAAATAAGTATGTACTTTAACTTTACTTAATAACACACTGAAATTCGTATTTCAACCACACAATCAATCAACATCAAAGATTATATTATTAATTTATATGATAATATCTGTTCTTTGAGTTTTCAACCTCGTGAGTGAAGTCGAGTCGAATACGAAGTTATGTCGGAATTATGATACTTGAAAATAAACAAGAGAAGATGTACGTGTAGTTGTCACCACTTATCTAATTAGGATATGGTACTAAAATATTTTAATTAACTATTATAATATTTATACTTTAAGGCCAAATTATTCCATGTAAGTAAGAATTTATTTTTTATTTCTGAACTGAACATTGTTGTACCACTATATACTGATCGTAAATCGTGCTACAGTGCGTGTATGAAATGAACAGGACATAATTATATCAGCATTTAATCATAAGATTAATTAAATACTTAATATTTCTAAATAACAACAGATTAATAAATAAAATTAAAAAATTACTATATTCAACTACATATTACTTACTTACTACCAAAAGTACCTAATTATTGTTGCTAAAATCTGCACCATGAATAACTTTTAATTCTTGTATAATAAAGAAATTGTGATGGATAATTGTCACTACTGTGTGTTGAATTTTATTCAAACCTTATTAAGCGACTAATTTCAGGAAATTACAAAATTTAAACAATGATTTAATACATATTTACGAAAATTTCGACTGACCTCCTATTCGTTTAAACACACCAGGTATACTTTTGTTAAGAAAACGTGTACAAGTAAATTGCATATAAGTTGCAAGAATTAAAAAAAATGCCAGTCAGCTTTATTGAATTATGCAAACTGTTCAAAATTATAGTTTAACCAATCACCTCACTAAAAGCAAAATTTAATAAAATTTATGTAACCGGTCGGATCCAATCCATATCATCATCCATATATAAAATTTTCACACTTTAAACTTGGACCAAAATTCTACAAAATTCATTTCAAATTCCAAGTAAATCAAAGGTTGCATTCCAAAAAAAACTATTTTTATACCAACCTTTTTAAATGCATGCAAACAATCACCAAACTTCATCAGGAATTCAAACAACGCCACTAACGATTTTCACGGAGTTTATTACTTAAAAAAATATACAAAAAAATTCAATGATCGCTTTGATCGACTGATTTTATTGACTTTATCACACCACACCTCATCTCCTTACCCCACCAAGAAGATAACCCATCATCATCATCATCTCATGAGAACAAAGGACTAAAAAGTAAGTAAGTAGTTTTTAGTTGGCTGAGGAGCAAAGCACTTTTGACGAGTAGCGCAGGCTCAGTTTGTTTGGTGGTTGGTTTAGCGAGCTGCCCACAAGCACAGCAGACAGAATGTTTGAGAATAAATAAAAATACGAAAATCACCAGTCACATTTTACTCGGGAATGACTTGCACAATTAAATTTTAACAATTAAAATCTAGAAGATAATTCAATTAAAATAATTAATAAGAATAATACGTTTTCCTTCCTGAATTTGAGAGTTTCATTGGTAAGTTTGAAATAAAATAAAATACAAAGGAACATCTGATTTGTGGGAGGTCATTGATCGATATTTTTTGCACTTATCGATTATTGACTAACTATTGATTAATTGGGTTAATTATATATGGAAGAGTTAAAATTAAATTGGGTTTGATTATACATAGCAAGAACAAGAGAAAAACAGGACAGGACGAGACGAGACGTGGCATGTAATAAGTAAACAGAAGAAAGAAAGTAACGAGTCATTGTCGAAACGTTTATCAACTAATTGGGTGATTAGTAATCCGTTCATTTAATTTCTGGAATCGAATATATTTCGAGTTGATCGTGGTAAGGAAAAATTCCAAGATGTCGTCGCGTGACGAAATTTTGACAGATTTTCAGGTATTTTGAAAATGTAGCAATTTTTTTTACATCGTCATAGTAAGTCGTGTTTTATTATAGGCATGCACTGGTATCGATGACGTTGAAGTGGCAATTCTTCATTTAACTGAGAATAATTGGGATTTACTAGTAAGTTAATTAAAACTAAATTCTAAATTCGATGGCCAGTCGTTCGATTGGCTGTCCGTCCAAACGATGATATGTCGAGTAATTAATTGGTAATCAAATTTAGATATGCAAATATGAAATTGTAATTTTTAGCGATTTGCGTAACATTATATTTACAAATTAAATGGTTTGTCTTTGTATAACTTCCAGAGCGCCGTCAACAAAGTCTTACCACAAGATACTCAAACGTTACCCTCTGAACGAAGTTTTCCAGTCTTTCCATCCGTTCCAGTGAATAGATTTCGAGGATTCTTAGATATGGATCATGTAAATTTCTTAATTTCAATTAATTTCTCAACATTACAATTTGCATTATCTCATATTTTTTGTTCAATTTGTTCACAGGATTCTTCAGGGTTAGACACAATTGATATCGACGAAGCTGACGACGCAGTACTGGTCCCTCCTCCGCGAAATCCTAGTAACGGAGTCATTCGTCACAGTAGTCAAGCTTCAAGCGCTACTACTACGAGTGTTAAACAAAATAGTTCCTCATCGACATCCTCAAAAACAGCAGAAACACCCTTCTTTGTCAAAGAGGAAAAACCCCGTAGTAGTTCTTCGTCAAACTCTCGTGCTAAAGTTACTCTGAGCAGCGATTTTATGAAATCTGGCCCCAGTGGGTCCAAAAAAGGTGCAGGCAGTAGAGAGATTACATTTAACGTGCGGTTAGACACCACAGGGGCTGCGCTGACGGCGAAGCTCGCTGAGTGCGAGACGGTCGACACGTTGAAAACGCTCATTCATGCTCAGTAAGCGAATCATTGCAAGCGATTTATATGTATTTGCATTTTTTATTAATGTGGAAATTTAATTGAGGTATTAATTTCTACTAGATTCGAAATCCCTCCTTGTCAGCAAAAACTAAAAGGATGGCCAAAATGTCCATCTGACGGTGCAAAGTTGGGCTCTTTGGGTCTTCCTGACGAAATAAACTTGTCTCTTTTCACAAACGGTCCAGCCATGGACTTTACAGGGGCTGGGACTAGCAGCAGTAGCAATAGTGTCGGGTATAAAAATTGGAATTATTATGATTTTGATTACTAATTAGGTTTAGAGAGCTGATTTTATTAATTTTATTAAACAGAAAAACTGAAGATAAATATTCACTCGTAATAAACGATGAAACAAAGAACGAGACGCTTGCGATTGACTTTCCTGGTTCGACAACGGTCCGTAGCGTAAAAGAGGACATGTCCCACGTAAGTGATACTCCAGTCCGGTTCCAAGTTTGGACGGGATGGCCAACTGGAACTACTGACACCATGGTAAGGTTCTAACTTTTAATTGTAAGTTAAAGTATCCTTAGCATCAACTTATTTTGTTAACATGGTGTATTCTTTTCTAAATTAGACACTAAGTGCATGCGGGCTGGATAAACCTCGTCATACTTTATCTTTTCGAAAACAAGTTTCTGCTGCCAGTTCTTCTGCCGATCTTAGTAAAAGGGTACGTGGTTCTTGAAAGAAGAAATTGTAAAAATAAAGTGAACATTTAAATTCATTATTCAAGATGATGGAGCTTGGTGATGGCTCGGAGACGTCGTCAGACGTGGAAGACCTTACAGAGTCGTATCCATTAGAGGAGGATTTCTACAGTCAAGAAGTCAGCACAACACCACAACGATTTCTTAGTAAGCCAGGATTAGCTTGACAATTAGTTACAATGTGAATGGAGCAAGGTTTGATCACAATTTCACAAATCGTAGTTCCGGACAATGCACCAGACGAAGCTGTAGGATCGATCCAGTTTGCTGACAACTTTTTCGCTCGATACGGTTCTTGTCATCCAATGTTTTTCCACGGAACGCTAGAAGATGCTGTGAAAGAAGCGTGTTTTCAGCCAGCCAAAAATGTAACAATTTTAAACAATACTAGAGTTAATTATTGCAATGTTTATAGAATCTAATATTCTTGCTGTCATGATTTTATAGAGAAAGTTATTGGCAATCTATTTGCACCATGATGGATCCGTCGTTTCCAATGTATTTTGCCAACATATCCTGTGTAACGAGTCTGTCGTGTCGTATTTAACGGGGAATTATGTCATTTGGGGGTGGGACGTTACCAACGAATCGAATCGGCAGTTGTGAGTATTTATTAATTTAAAATGTTATCTAATAATAATAATATTTGAGGATTATTTATTTTAAGCATATTTTTCATATAATTATTAGGCTCTTGGCTGCTGCGAACAAGAACTTTGGAGCTCCTGGAGTGAGTGCAATTCGCAGTATAGAACGTGAAAGGTATCCTGTGATAATTGTGGTATCCCGTGTCCGAGCTACGACAGAAATCAGCAATGTGATTTATAGTAAGCAAATATAATTCTATGCCAACGTATGCGTATATTTCTGTATGAAATACTTTTGAACACATTTAAAAATAAAGCGTGTTTTTAATCACTTTATAGGTCCGAACGCGGCCACCGTAGATGAATTAATGGGCAATTTGATGAATACTTCGGAAATGTATCAAACTCAGAGACAAACCGACATTCGCGACGAAGATGAGCGCGAGGCGAGAGAGCGAGTAAAACGTGAACAAGATGAAGCTTACGAATTGTCATTGATCGCTGATCGTGCCAAAGATGAGGCCAAGCGCGCAATGGAAGAACAAAAGCTGACGGAGGAAATGAAAGTCCAAGAAGCTGCTGAACAAGCCAAGGTGCGTATTTGCATACAGGCATTACTATAAAATCAATACGTAATGCAATGACTTACACCATAATATTTTTATAGATGCTTCGTGATCAAATTGCTACTACTCTGCCCCCAGAGCCAGACACCAGCTGCACTGATCCCGTCTGCTCTTTAAAATGCCGACTTCCTGGCGGAAAAATTATTTCGAGAAGATTTCTCCAATCTACAACTTTGAATGTTCTGTTTGACTTCTTGTTCACCCAAGGGTTTTCACCGGACGAGTATCGATTTTTGACAACGTACCCAAAACGTGATGTGAGTCCGCATATATATCATCACTCAGACCAATTCGTACCTTGGAATTATATTTAATTTGTGTTTTCATGTATATAGCTAGCTGATTTGGTCGCGACCACCACGATGAATGGCATCTTTAGTCCTCAAGATACTCTTATTGTGGAATTACGATGACCGTCGATAAATTATTAGTAGCCGTATTATACTTTTTGCAATGTAATATTCGATGATCTTTTTAGTTTCTCCGCCACTCAGCTAGTAAGGTATTTATGAAGTTTGGTCTTTGTACAACAATGTAAAATATGTAACAATTTAAAAAACTGAGAAAATGTACCCGTCAAATCTGACAATTCTCCTCCTCGCCTGTCTCAGTTATCGTCTTATTATTGAACCGCATTGAATTTTATTCATAGTCTAGTTAGTTCTCAGGTCAAAGTTAGTTTATCGTTACGTTAATTTCGCGTACAAAAAGACGATATTTGGCAATGTCAGTTAATTACATATTTAAGAGGAGTATTTACAAAGTTGTAAATTTCAGATTTGAATGTGAATTGGTTGTATGCATTATCTTATCACTCACATAAGATCAAATTTGTTTTGTTTTTGGGGGAACTTTGAGAAACCTCATGACAGACCCCAGATAAACTTTTCAGCTTCCTCTTGGCTCTTGACGTAGCAAAGATAAGAAATTTGAGGATTACAACTTCAAGTGTTTTTTATGATTTTAAGTGGGCAATTTTGATAAGGTCTACCTTCTCACATGATGTTGGTTAATTAGTTACATATGAATTTATTGTTCTTACTTGCGCACATACTCAGCGATTGGGCACGGCATGTAATTTATGACAACAACATATATAGAAGAAACGTAAATAGCGTAGTTAAGTAGTATAGTTAATTAATTAGTTCCGTTTTACAGTACATCTGCAATGAGACTTATTATTCGAGAACTTATCGAGTCCTCATCTGCTGTATATTTAGTAAGATTTCATATTCAAAGTTTTAAATCGTAAAAGTTAATTGGATCGAAGAAGCCCCTTCAATGAATTCTGTAAAACAAGAAAATTTAAATAAATAAAGCAAGCAAATAACGAGATTGACTAGTCAAGGACAATTTTATTCCTCCAATAATAATAATTACACAGGTAAATTAAGAGTACATGCATAGACGTGATCTCATAATTAATCATTATCTAACACATAAGAGGAAGAGTCGATGATTAGCTGTGTTATAGCTGTAGATAAATATTATGTATCGCCACCTTTGTTGTTAAGAGTAATTTCAGGTTGATTGTTGAAGTCATTTTACAAAATCTTTGATCGTCATCAGTTATTACTCTTCGTCTTTGGGAAGTTCTTCAATTTTACCCATGACGGAAATGTCACCTTCCGTGTCCTCCTTATTGTTCTGCCCGTCGTTGTCCGCTTCGGCTGAAATAGCAATACCAAATTTTGGTCAGCATTTAAATGCAATGAGAAATATCTTGCTCAATTCATTTTAATTTGATTATTTAGTAATTCTGTGTTGTACTTTAGTCTAATTAGTGGATAAATTCAAAAACCAATTAACAATTTTGTCTACTAATTAATTGTAAGAGGTGCCTATTTATAATATTGAGTTGTACTGTTATATTTGGTTTCCTGTTATTTATTGCACTCATTTTCAGTAGTGTTCTATTGCCCTACCCGTTAAATATGTCGTAAGATCAACATCATCGCTGTCCTCGTCATTTTTGAAACCTGTGACGTAGTTATCAAAACGTTACCCAAATTGAACCTCTACAACTAGGTGGACGAGTATTGGTACATACAAACTTTCACCGTAGAAAAGTTGTGTGTATGTATGAAATTGTATGCATTTTTACCTTTCTTTATGTCTTCGTACTCCTTATGACTAGTCGAGGCAGGCGTTTTCCTCGCGTTGCTGAGCCCCTTTTCTGCCTTTATTGCCTGTACAATTCATAATAAGTCAAATTAAGTCATAAAATCTCTAATCATCTTTCACTCGCATAGAATCCAGTAATCATGTATTAGTCTTATTATCAATCTAATAAAATATACCGTTACAGATAAAAGGAGCAGTATTTCTAGTGATAAGTACAGGCAAGTAGGACAGGACTTGTAAATAGTAGTGATTTAGTCAGTAATTTAGTAGTGAAAGTGGAGTCGTCTCGATTGGTGTTACTTTCTCCATCATTTTACTCACTCGCTACGATTTAGTGTTTGAAATGATTAGCTGTTTTTTTTGCAGATTTTTTTTGGACGAGGATGATTTTGTTATTCTTGTAAGATTTCTCGATCAGATTCCACACATCATGCAGTCTTTTTTAGTGGAATAGTACGTATGACTTGCCGTTTTGTTTTTATTCTTCCCTTTGTCATCATACGAGAGGGAGGAGGCATCCGTAATCTCGTCGGGGGCACCTCCCCCACCAGAAATCACTGAAAGGGTTACCTTCCCAGATAGGATTATTGGCGCCGTGTTATTCTCATAGTCATCGCCATAATCTCCCCCTTCCATTTCCACCTGGGAGTCTGAGACCATTAGTTGCTGTCCCGCCATGGGGAGTGGTCCCTCTAGAAAAATGGAGGGGATATCCTCCGGAGGAGATGGCGCCCGGTGGGGCACGGGAGGCGTCGCCATTCGGAAGGTGGGCGTTGGCGTTCGATCGTCCCACTTTTCGCCAGACTCCATCTCCGCCGTTTCTTCGATCCCGAGGACTGAGAGGATTTCTCGGTGTTGTTGAGATTGTGGGGAGGAGGCCTGTTTAGCCAACGCGATTGCAGCAGCCGCACTCTGTTGTATAATATGCGAGGATAGTTGTTGGGCAAAGAGGATAAGTTCAGGGGGACAAGAACGGGGGTGTGGTTGGTGGTTGACTCATTGGTGGTGGTGGTGGTGGATGGGCTGAGGTGTTGGTTCTGTTGTAGAGGGGTGGCAACATGGACAACATGACATACAGACAAGGAGTGAGACAAGCAAGAGAAAGAAAGGATACGTATAAGAATTGTAGAATGACAGACTTTCTCTTTTCTTAGAAAGTGATAAACTCGAGGTAATATGAGACGGATTTAATTCCTATTTCAGAGAAAGTTTGTCATTAAGATGTATGTGTTTTATAGTTTAAATACACATGCAATTGTAAATATTGTATGACCAGTTTCGGTTTACAGAATGGTTAGCTAAAATGTGTGGAGAAAGCGGGGGGAAAATAATAATAACGGTACAAGAGACAATTTGTAAATAAAATATGGAGAAGAATACTACACTGACATGTAACACCAATTTAACGACATAACTAGAAGGACAGAGACAGAATAGTAAAGTAAAAAAAACAAGAACGTTAACAACAGGACATTATAAATACAGCGACAAATAAGCACACTTATTTGGGACTACATTTTTACAACACGCTGAACTAATTTACATACCTAAATGCATAGTAAATAAGGTCTTATTCGACTCACATGTTTCGACTTTTTCGAACCGCCGTGTCTCGGCGGCGTTGGGGGTCGTACGGGTTCCTCTTCTTCCTCCTCCTCCTCCTCAACTTCTTCTTCCTCTTCGTCATCCTCCACTTCCGGTTTCTTGGCCTCCGGAAGTTGGAACGTCACCTCTTTCTCTGCACTGGGATGTCGTTTCACGGAAGATTTTCGTTCCGGCTCCAACTTTGCTTTCTCTTCGGATTTTTTATTTTCCTCCTTAATTGAGCCTTTGGGTTGTTCTAAGTCCACCTGGGTTAGCATTACATGGGGTCTCATTTTCCGAAACTCTCCTCTTTCCTTCGTGTATATTTTATGTAATGTGTTAGTGTATCGTGTCTAGTGTGAGTGTGTGGTGGACGGTAAAGTATTTGTAATGATGAGAGTTAATTTCTGGGGGGAATTGATCCAAATTTAATCCAAATTCCTGATGACGGGCTAAACTAACCTCTTTTTCCGGCTTAGACGAAGAACGAGACTCTTCATTCTTTGTGATATCTTTGTTAATTCATCAGTCTCAATTTTCGACGCTTGCTGTCCCAACGCGGACACTTGGTCAAGAATTCCTTGCACAGCTTTCACAACTAGAGCCAAATAATGCCATACCGTTTTCATACCATGTCATTGATGATAACATATTTATGAAAATATGTATGAATAATTTTTTTACGAAATTAAACACAAAAAGCGTCACTTTAAGTTGTTAGTCACAATTTGAACATGAATCAAATAGAGAGAATCAAATACTTATACATAACAGTGAAAGAGTTAGTATAGGAAAAAAATAAGGCGAATACAATGATGGAAAAAATTGGCGTTTTTGGCCCTAGTCCTGATAAGCGCAGGGTGCATATATATTTATTTATATATATTATCGCATTCGGGTACAAGAATCGATGAGCATTCAGAAAATTAAAAAATTACGGTCCCCACAATACATACATTTCTTTTCAGATTTCACAAGAAACCATGCAAAATCATTTACAAAAGGGGTTCACATTCCTCACTTTTCAAGAAAATCAGGGGATTTCTTTACATTCGCCACCCATCGTGTAAGGTGTGTTGATCTCGAACTCATCATCTCATTTCATGGCATATTTAATGTGTGATAAGGTGTCAAGTAATTTTTAAGTAAGGATAGATCAGTTAAGAGGGACACACAACATACCCCCTGAGCTTTAAGGACTTTGGCCAACATAGCGAGGCGATCGGATCCCATGGACGTGATCATGCGTTCCATCGCCAGTTGCGTCTCTTCTAACTGCCTTCGCAACGAGTCGATCTCTACCTCGCCTACATTATTCGTTTTCAACGAGGACAGTTCCAACATTTTTATCTTTAACAGAATTCCCCTCTCCACAGAGTTCTCCACTAAAAAGCCCTGCTCACATTCGGCTAGAAAGTTTGAAAAATTTAAAAAGAAAATAACGAAAGGAAACAGGCAGAAATAGAAAAATTATACCGATTTTTTATATAAAAAAACACACGAAGAAGAAACAGGCATGAAAATTATCTAATATACTAAACTGCAACTAAATATTTAATAAAGAGAAAGTGTATGGAAAATCATTCCAAAAAATTGCATATCACGCATCTACCTACGAAGAAAGTGGACCAAATATTCAATAATTCTGCCAATATTTTACTTACTGGCATCTCGATCTCGAGCTCCTGTCCCCCATTAGTGGTAGTAGCACACACGGAAAAAAACAGAAAAAACAGACAACGTGTTAGTACATGTGAAAAAGAAGATGAGAAATTCTGACCAGGATGAGATTCTTGTGAGCAAACGTCCTCTTTCCTACTACTTTCACCAGCTGCGGGGATTGACACGTTATTATCAGATACGCCCGGCTTGGTGAGGAGGACATCTTGCGTGACGACTTGTGCGGGGGATGATGCATCACCTGTAATTTCATTCGGTTTAGCAGACCGATTGCTGTCCGGTTTCGTGGTGGTAGTTGTTGTAAGCACACTTTGAGAAGGGGTTAATTCGTTTTTTTAAGCTGGTGGTAACAAGGGTGGACTCTGTAGCCTTGTCGGAAATAAGAGGAGGGAAATCATCCGGTCCAGTTTCGGATTGTTGCTCGACTAGGGGTTCGGTTTTAGTAGCGAGAAGTGTGGAGGATTTCAAGGGGTTTGTGCAAGATTCGAGCGTTATGGGTGGAACGGAGAGGGGATGAACTTCCGGGATGAATTCTATCTCGGATTTGGAGTCACGTGGTGGGGAGGATTTTACACTTTGGAGGAAGGAATACATGGCAGCGATTTCGGCGTCGTCGGGTTCAACTAGTTCGAAATCTAGGGATGAATCTGGTTCGTTTTCGAGTAAAGTTTGGGGATTGTGAGGGGTAGAATTTGACTCTAATAAATCTGTAATTGTGGTGACGCTGATGCCGCAATATTCTCGGAAATTATTGTTTGATCTTGTTGCTCTGAATTGAAAACTTCAACCAGGTTGGGAGATGTTAAATTTTCCTCCTGTTTCTCCTCGGAGGTAGTATTGCTTGTTAGGATTGCCATCAACTCAGGTGGCCGGGATTGGATTACTTGCTCTGCTTGATCGATAACTTGGTCGATTATTGACGCAATGTGATCTCTTTCCGAGTCTAAGATGTTTGTGTCATCGGCTTTCTCTAAAATTTCAGTTTTCTGATTCT